TGATGTTTTTCACCCACCATTCAGCTAACGCCCATACAACACATACCTTAAAATGCTATAGTTACAAGCACGTCTCTCGCGAAATTTGAGACCTTAAATCAACTATTTAAGCAAGTTAATGGCAGCTTAAAGTTTACCCACTTCACATGGAGCTACAAAATTGAAAGCTTGTGTGCTTCGCAAAGTACATTTGTATTCTGGGTCAAATGTATCCCCGTATCCCGAGTGCGATTCCGTTACTCAGCGCGCGATGCATCGATTATGATAATGGGTAGACTGGATCACGTTTGTAGACACAAGTGCATTTTAAACAATAAAAGGGAGTCGGGAACTAGCTTGAACTGGTTCCGCCCATAAAAGCTGCCCTAGTTTCCGACTCCCTATTATCGTTCGAAATGTTTGTGTTAACAAACGAGATCCAGTTTACTCATTATCATAATCAATGCATCGCGCGCGCTCGGTAACAGAATCGCACTCGGGAGTCGGGATATGGGGACCATCAAATGTACGCTGGGCATGAAGACCACAGCACGAGTCGGAAATTTAACGTATTCACGATCGCGAGGGGAGCTCTCGGAATTGAATGGGAAATTTCACTTTTCATCCGGATCATAAGTAAACTTCAGTACAACCATCTTAATCATCGATGTCTACTTGCACCTCAGGTGGCTTATCTAATAATTTGTAGGCTATTTCAAATGAGGGTGAAATCTGATGTTTTTGTTGGGCAATGTTGGGATTTTGGGTCACTGACAGAATTGTGTTGCTCAGCATATAAGGATTAGCTTGGTCCCTACTATCGCCAGACCTAGCCCAGGTTGGACGAAGTCTTCATTGCATTACGACTGACGTCCAGGATGAGAAATCTCTACATAATACCATCCAAAATTTGACCTAATTTTTGTTACGTTTTACCTCGTTATAGAAGCTTGTTTCACGCTAGACCCGTGAACGTGGCTTGTAAACTACGCCACGCTGTTGTGTATTTTCGAACCTGGCGAACGTGTCCCTATGACTCCCTCCGTTACACACACTGGACTTTATTTTGCCCATGTAATAAGTACTCACATATGAAGCTGTCTTGAATTCTATTTGTACGTCAAAACTTGCATTTGACGAAAATTGAGGAAAATTCTGGCCCCGGTTCATGAAGTCCGTCCGCTACTGCTAGCTGCCATTTTCTCCCAACTGACGCATGCGCATTGCGTTTTATTTTCGTATGATTCGACGGCTGTTTACTGTCGCAGCTAAAACAGACATCGTTTTAGACAAGTTTCAAGTCCTTTCCTCTCTCACCGCACCGCACGCGGTCGGGGGCGCGCCCGCGTGTGTGTGCGCACACGTACTGTACATACACGAGATGAGCCGAGCAGCCAATCGTCTGCGGGTTTTTTTTTTCGGGGTTGCGACATGAAACAGCCGTCAATCTGTCCAAGCGACTCGTCGGACGCGTCCGGGGTTATTTGTCAGGGTCAGGTTAAAATCTAATTTCTACACGTTCGTATGGGTCTTTACTGATGGGCAAATTTCGTCGAAATTACACAGCCTAAACAATCGGACGGGCAAATTTAGATTTCTAGGTGAGTACTCAACACCCATACGGAATTATGTATGTCGGATCGATTTCGCCAGGTTCGAAATGACACAAGAACGTGGCGTTGTATACAACGCCACGTTCACGGGTCTAGTTTCACGCCTACATACTCTATGTATCCTTATCTATTGATCCGGGGGTTCAGGAATTCCAATGTGATGCTGACCGACGTTAATCAAGAAAATAAACTCTAGAGCAATGTTAAACTGGTACTTTTTGTAGTCTCTTTTCATCAGTTTCTCACCGAATCGCTAGCGCCCTCCTTTGTTTAGTTGTGGTTGGAACAGTGACGTCACTCCAGCCAACCGAAGTCGCGAAAACACTCAACCAATGGCAAAAGCCGAAACATGTTTCTGGTAACTGTCGCGAAAACACGCTTGGTCACTGGATAGGCGACCGCACCTACAAGTTAGTGCGCATGCGTATGAGGGCGGTTACTAAGGAAGTCGCACGTGCGCAATGCACGTTCACGTTGCACACGCACGGCCGTACGTACGCCATTTACGACTGGACTCGGTACGTGTGAGAAATTGATGAAAAAGGTCTACAAAATTCAAAAGCATACAAGTTTAACGTTGCTTTAGAGTTTATTTTCCTGATTAACGTCGGTCAGCATCACATATGGAATTCCTGAACCCCCCGGCCCAATAGATAAGTCTTCATCATAGAATACTAAGACGTAAAAATTAGCTTCTCCAACAAGGTAAAAATATTGAAAATATTGGTCATAAATTTTTTCGCCCGGTTTTGAGCACTTAATATCCTGGACTCCCTCTGTAACGTGGGGAGGAAAGGGAGTCCACCTGGGCTATCGCCAGACCATGTCTGAATGTTAAAAAGGCGATAAGTTGGGTCCAAGTTACTCGGACTACGCATGTTCAATGCATATCCGGCAAGCTTACGTTTACTAAAGGTTTGCCGTCTCCGGCTTAATATCCACTGCCTAAGGATTACCCAAAATGGCACATTTTGGAATTCAATTTTTACAGATGCTAGGCCTAGTCCGTGCCCCCCCCCCCCCCTTTTAGATTTCTACAGCCGGACACATTTTGGATTTTGGTCATCCCCCATCCACAACACTCACGCACAGATTGACGCCACTGCCATAAAGTCCAGAATGATGGGGCTTGGTTCACGACCGCGACTCCCGAGCACAAACAAACACGACATGACAAGCGTTCGACAAATAACTAAACGATAAATAGCGACAGTATCCTTAGGCCTTAAGTCCTGTAAAGAAAATTAATGTCACATGAATATAGTTCAGTTCTAGAAAAAAAAAGAATAACTTGGTATCATTCTAAAAAATAAATTAATACCAATCACCAACCTGCTGCTGTTCGGTTTAAATAACTTGACATTTAGCCCGACGTTCAGCGCAGCATGCATGTGATCGAACGAAGGACGAAGTGACAAGCAATTCACTGGTACTCATAATTTACGTCGGAAATAAACAGGTTTCTAATTAGCACGGCAATACGCAAGGGTACCAGTGATAGTATTGACATAAATTAAGGGGCGGGGCTTATATAGTTCCCCCAGAATTTGAGGGACGATTATGGGTGGAGTATCAATATACATATGTCAAAACAAAATAAAAGAAAGTCACAAGCGTACATTCATCAATTAATTACATCGATGAAAAACAAGGTTTGTAATAAATCAACAAAATGGGGAATTTGGGTTGTAAATGGTGTGCCCTTTTAAGACATGTCAACAAACGAGGGCGCTCTTCAACTTTCTCGGTGATCTGTTCCCTCGTACCCGGACCCGGTACCCCGCCCTGCAAACAGGACGCTGGGATACTCTGCTGAGCTTCACAGAATCTTGTGAAGGAAGTGGCCTATGACCTATGTATAAAGCATCTGGCTGCAGCGTTCAAGACCGCAGTTACACAATGTTCGCAAATGCTATCCGAAAACTTCCCATAGAAATGCGCACAGATTTCATACCGGATGTGATTTCTGTTTCATTGCGGCCCATGTGGACAAAATTTTGAGCGTCGCATAATGCAATCCGACCGTTCGTGATTCGAAACGGAGCCCAACCAAGTGACTGGAATTGTAAATTTACAACACATGTAAGCTTTACAGAATTTCCTACATTATTACATTTTTCAACGACAAAAAAAACTCTCTAAACTGGAATAAAAGTAATGACTCAGTCTTAAACGGCCGTTTCAAACCTTGCAGAGTCATGACCGTGATGACGCGCAGGTCACTGGTCACGCAAAATCCAACCAATCAGAGCGTGAATTCATCAGAGTATCCCAGCGTCCTGTTTGCAGGGTGGGGGTACGAGCGAGCGAAACCAACACATTTTGCCGATTCTAACGGACGGTAGCGGGCCCGCGGTTAAAACTGAGAACAAATTAATATGACCCAAAATTGAGTAGGAGTCCTCAGTTCCGAATATGTCCCAAGTTTATCGATACATTTCGTTGACAGTCGGGTATGTTCGCAATAACTCGCCGGTATTCCCGGGCGTAAAAAATATTATTTACCGGTACGCCGGGATCCGCTCAGTATCCGACGCCTCGGGTCTGACGCCTCATAGGTCCGACGCCTCATAAGTCCGAAATTTCGGACTTATGAGGCGTCGGACTTAATGGGCGCCGGGCTTATGATTAACATTTATTTATTCCGCCTCATAGGTCCGACGCCTCATAAGTCCGACGCCTCATAAGTCCTAAACAGCGTTTGTCCATTGTCGGACTTATGAGGCGTCGGACTTATGATACGACCCGGTACGCCTGCCATGCTTCCGAAAATTTTGAGTTCATAAATTCATTGCTTGCATGTATGATACATTTCAGTGCTAGGTGTAGTGTTGCCCATTCGGTTTCCGTTTTTAAATTAAATGTCAAATCAGTGTGGACGTTGTGCCTCAAGTATGCACTCAATGCCGTTTCTACAAACAATTTTAAATGCAGGAATGCATAAATTGCAGATTTTGTGGGTTGGTGGTGGTGGTTCCAGCGACGGCCGGCGCGACCGCGGCCGGGGGGATTGTCAACTGCGGACCCAATCTTGGGATATCCCTGTCATTCGTTGAACCCAATCAATAATGATCCAACATCTGAGTTCTGTTAGATAGTAGAACTCATAAAGTGGAATGAATAAACAGTATAGATGGGCCTTAAAAGGAAAGGTATATACGGATCGACGTACTTCAGTTTATGATTCTTCAAAATAAACATGTTGACCAGTTACATTCTTTGCTGATGAAATCATATCCTTTTAATACTATATTTTTGCCTTTAACCCCAGATACCCACACATCGTTTGAACGGCAGACATCTTCAAGAATGCATTCATCATTTTTGTTTTGTTAATCTTTTATTGTACTTTTTATTGTATCAATGCCAAAAAACCGGATGCTGCTGCGTTTCTTGCAGCCAACAACGCAAAGTTAGTCAAACACATAAACTAATAAACAATCTCTTTCAAGAGTAAAATATACATGTAATTATTTAGTTAAGAGGTCTATTATGATAGACAAATACTAATCTCTACTTGCAACACCGACGACGTTGAGGGCAGCGTAGGATTCTATACTCAGTCTCCAGTGTAGCAAGGCGGGCGACGTGGATGAGAAGAAAGCAGACGACGGATCGCGGAGTGGCGGTGAGAAACTATTTTGACTTCCGTGGCCAGCTCACCGGTAAGTTATTTACTTTCTCCCGCCCGTCCTATCCCCTTCCCAATCTCAGAGGTATCCTCTGGCCTCAGTTTCCACGCTAGTCTCACCCACATCTCAATCCTGAAAATGCCGGAGGCGGACGGAAGCGAAGACGATGGTGCAAATACGTGATACTGTACTGTGGCATAGAAGTTACTCTCCTTTATAAACCAATGCAAGCGATGACAACTTATTACCTAAAATCAATTCATTCTCACTATTTGCTAAGAACTACCGAAAAAACCATCTCTTTATTCCGCTTTTCTTTGGTTTCAATTAGCCAAAATAACTGCGTGAAAACAACAAAAATCATATGCTTGATATTTTTTCTCTTTTTTTTTCAGCTATGAAAAACGAATTAATACAAACACGTGAAAAGTCAACGTATCTTTGAAATATTCATCCGACTGTTTAAGAATCATTTACAATACTTTCCGAAGACCGAGCTTGTTGTTTGATTTTTGTTAGCTTTTACATTTGTAATTTGTTTGTTGGAAGTCCCCGATTTCATTATTCCGCAAGGGATTAAGGATGCTAAACTGTTAATTTGTACTTCACTCTGGAAGACTTTAACGAATTACTAAAGCTATATTAGTTTTATACAAAATGAGCACCGAAATATTTTAATTTCATAAAAAAAAGATAAAACAAAGTTATTTGATGGGAAGAAAAACTTTGACGGAGTTTTGTCAGTCATCTTCATCCTGTCGAAGCTTTTGAAAGCCGTTTTCGTTGTGTCTTTCTGCGGTGACTTCTGATTGTGTTTTGTTGAGGGCGCCACCCTACATGAGTGGGAGAAGAAAACTGAGATTGGTCATAAGCCACTTACGTGTACAGCGCCACCATAGGGGGACATGCTGTTGCTCTGTGTAATACTTCTGAGTAAGTGTAGATACCTCATTAATTTGTACTGACGGCCATGAGTAATACTTGTCCTTCAGTGAGACCGCTGTGTGATATGCAAGGCGTTTATTTACTAGGGTGAAAATCAGGGATCGATCCCTTCCCAATAGTCAACCACAAACCGTGGCAGATGTTAGAATTTCAAAACTGCCATATCGGTGGGTGATATAGCCCTACATAAGCCCCTTTTAAAAATTTGTTAAAAAGCAAGTGTTTGATTTATACTTACCGTTTGCATATTATGGATATTCGCCGCTAGACTGAAAATAAATGCCACACCTGTCAGTCCAATGGTGTAGACGATGACTAGCTGCCATCGGAACTGCATCACGGCATCCGATAGGCTGAGACGCAAGAAGACACCAAGAAAAATAGTCACTTGTCTCATCAAGTGAATCATTCAACATTATAATCAGTTATGCCTATACAAGAACGAAACATCGCTTACCGGTTTGACAGCATGTCATGAACATGCATTCAATAAAACATGATTGTGGGAGTATAGGTCACATTCGATGTCATTTGGGGATTCATGTATTTGATGGCAGTTTCGTCAGTGGGTATAATAAATCACAGTTTCCACCAACAACTTAATGACTTGCCATGGTTTTAATTATTTTCGTAATGATAAAGGGGGAAAAAATACTGTCCGAACTTCCCTGAACAAATCATTGACTGCAACGTCTCATCCACCCAACCCTAGAAAAACATTGGTTTGCAACGCGTAGCCCATCCAGCTCCCAAGCCCACCAAGCCTTCGAAAACTCCAGGATCCACCACGGCACTGCTTTCCCGAGATCAGAAGCCGGGCGGAATCCAACACCTTCCCCGGCTGCATGATAGCCATGCAACAACACCCCCTTCCCAAAAAAAAACTATGATAGTAAAATAAAATTCAGCTAAGTCATTTAGCGTTGATATGCCCCCCCCCCTCCAGTCAATGATAATGACCTATACTCACTGGTACTCGTGGGTTTGACCGAGGATCAGACCAATCACGACATTGGACGCTGCCGTGAAGCACATTTCTATGGTGAGTGTGATGCCTATGGCTGTGCCCACGGTCGATGTGGGTACGACCAGGGTGATACACGCAATCACGCTAACCTGAGTATGGGAAGAGAATGCTTCAGGGGCTATAATCAAAGGAAAATAACAAACAACAATCGGCTTACCGACCAACCGATCGTCCAGCCGTTGACAATTCAAAATTCCCAGAAAAGCTGAAGGTATAGCCTTAATTGACGCTGTACTTCCGAGAATGTTTTCATCGTATAAAATTAGACGTCGAAATCATTTTTAAAAAAACACCCAAAAATGTCCCGCAATCTTTTTCCACAGCTGTGCACAGGTTCTCATTTCTGTGTAAAACCATTGTGACATCCTGAGTATATGTCTACACAAACATTGAAAAATGAACTTCCGAAGTGATGCCTCATACAACAGTGCGAAATATATTACAAAATATATAGGCCTATGGTAATACTAAAATGAGTTATATACAGTTCCATGTGAGTTACATCCACATGTATTTTGTTCACACGATTGTGGGGAACACGACTTTCCGCATAAGACGAGCCTCCGGATAATACGAGGAAATTAAGGAAGTCCGGAGAACGAGAGTTGACTGTGTATGCCTAATATGTGACAACACTTGTGTACAACCTTGTTTAATGTCACCGTTGGGGTTGGTATGGAAGTAAAACAAATGAACATGACTTACCGCCGCAAATGAGTAGAATATACTAATGAATACTGCGCAGATGTGAGGAGGGAACAATGTGAACGCCAGGAGACTAAGTGTCGCCATGGAACCTAAGATGGATATACTGGTGATCACAAGCCGATAACCTATAGAATCCTGTGCAAAAAAAAGACCAAAAGATGCTTCATTCGTGCAAGGATTGGAAGTTAAGCCGGTTAAAACTCAACAAACAAAGTGAACGCGAACGCAAACATGAACTGGTGACGTCGCGACAAGTCAATGTGGTTCTGCAAATTTCGAAGAAAAAAGCTGAACACACATTTGGGTTATGTTTGTATCGCATTATTATGACTTTAAGCTACACTCTACGAAATCGTGGACGGGTTTTAATGTTTGAAAACCTAACAATGCAACATGTGTGCATTTCCAAATGGTGAACTTATAGATGCTGGTCAAGTCAATAGAGGGCAGTATACAGTACAGGGTGTATAAAAAAAATGTAGGAAACCCAGATGTAAATGTAAATCATAAAAAATCTAATAAATATTTTCAAATAAGTTAAAGATCATGTGAAACGCAAATGTGTCCTCTTTTCAATGATACCTTGATTGTGTGTCTGTGGCCACGGATGACTAAGCATTCGTTGTTACCATGTCAAGGGTCAAAACCTGCACTGGACCAAGTTTTACCTGGCTAAGATTGCTGGCTGGTTTGTTATGCAAAGGTTGAAATGGACTAGGGTTGCAGACCAGTAAATAAACTTCCATAGACCCCAATGGTAAATGCTCACATTTCAGAAATTCGGGAAAAATACTCTCAACTCTCCAAGGTGTTCGAGACACACATCAAATTAAAGCTTATTTCATCATCTTTCATTTTCTTTTCAATTTTCGGGGGGTTATCTGATGACTTTTAGGAGAAATTTCCATCTGAAGACGATCACCCCTGAAAATAGTCCTGAAGCCCATCGCCATGTTGAAAAACGATGCCTATACTCCATTGCAAAATACAGCGCTTTAAGGGCCCCAATTTCATCCAAATTGAACGGAACTACAAGCTCACAGTCCTGTGCACGGCTTCCACCCATATTTTTTACAAACCCTCAAGTTCATGGCCCACAGCATGCTCAAATGCTGAAGATTTTGAGGGCATGCAAATCGTGATTTGGCAGGCGAAGGCAATTTCGGACTGATTTACTGGTCTGCAGCCCTAGATTTCGTGCAGAGCTTTGTGTGGAAAGAGGTGGTGGCCACGTTGAAGGCATTGGGCCATGAGGGGTTAACTTCAACAATGATTGGTGAAATGTGTCACAATTATTTCACAAGTTATTTTTAAAAAAATGAAATAATTCAAACGCGTTCACTATTTAGGAACACTTTATCTTACCATCAGCCTACCAGCACAGAAGCACCCAACTGTCGAGAGACCGAAGAATATACCAGCAAAGTAAGACGGCACGACGGACGCCTCGGAATACCCGTATCTGTCAGTCACGAACTTGCTGTATCGAGAATCAAAAGTGACATAATGAGGCCGCTACATCTAAACATCCTCGCTAGCCTGTAGGGCCGTCTTATAACTCGCGAACTTCATTAATGCAAGTTTGGCAAGTCGTATCCGAATCTTTAGTCCATCGCCAGCCAATCAATGTTCTGCGTCGACTGCAAGATCGTTTTCCAAATCAGAGAGCATTGACGTCCCGGTCAACTTTATCACAAATGACACTGAGAGCTTGTCTTGGTATAAGCTTTTGCGATCGGTGTATCGGTAAAAAAAAACAATCCATTTTTTTTTTGGGGGGGGGGATGTTCATGAATAATTAATCGCACGAGGTCAAAGGCAAAGATGATTGGGCTCAGTTTGCCAGGGTCGTTTTACGAAGTACGCACGCCCAGTAGCTAGCGAAGGTGCGTCAGAGGAGGTAAATTCGGAGATAGGCCTGTATGCCCTTATTTTATAGAGCAATGATGTCCAATCACGACAATACGAAATGAAATCGTTTAAATGTCTAGGGCTCCAGCAGTCTGAAGATAACGAAACGGCGTTTTACCCTATCTGCAAGTATTCATAATAAAATGGGTATTGCTTTTTAGGGTTTTCGAAAATCACACACTGATCGACATCTTTTTATGTCTGCAAAATTCGTTGCTTGTGGCGATCAACGAGCTAGGAGGCTACCATGTACTACCAAACAGTGACCAGTCCATTCCAACAGATCGGAGAACAGCGATCCTAAGTGATGTCCATGAGTTTTCCTGTGTAATGTTTTACCTGATGTCACCTATGAGGGCCCATATCATGCTATTGAAGAACACACGGGTGAATACCAGCAGCCAATACTGCAACGGAAGCTCAACCAGATCGGAGAAACTTAGCTTGTTCTGTCTGGTTTGCCTTGACTCCTGCGTGAGACAATTAATGTCAGTGACATTTATCGATGACAAGCAACACTAAAATTTATCCCAAAACCCCAACGGCTTCCGATTTTGCGTTTGTGATCTGAAGAAAACCTCAACTTGAGCCCTCCAGACAACTTGATACTCTTGACCTATCAACTCATTAAGTAAACCATTTTCGAATCTGCTTATTGGGCTAAGCATATCAGATTTTCGGATTTTACCTTATATTGATCACTGGCCCCCACCGAATCAAGGTAGCCAAGCGCAGTAGCTGGAAGACTGGTTCCCACTATGACCAAGATCATACTAATCCACAGCACCCACTGGAGGCCCAGTGCATTGTAGAGTGGCTTCGTAATCAGGAAGTTTAAAACTTCGCCCTGAAAACAATTTATAAAAAATATTGACAAAACCAAAGTTAAGGTTGCTTCGAACGAATAATTATACAGTCGGTCATTGTCCGATTTTTCGACTGGAGGAGAGAATTTTTCTTTTACGTGCATAACCGCAAATTGTGCCTTCTTGAAGTGTCATCTGTAAACTGTATGCACCAAAAAATATTCAAAATTCATATTGTTGGTGACAAACAACCTAAATACGTCCTTGTACAGAAGGAGAACATTTTAGACCGTGGACGTCGCTTTTGATGCACTGCGCTTGTCCCCAAAGGCGTGTCAGTTTGTCATCTCTTAATCTCTTTCACAAAATATTGTGAAGAAAACGTATAGTTGTCGCGGGGCATTGTGGGAAGATCACGTGCTTTGAGCCGTGCACTCATATCCCGTGCGCGCGTATCAGGTGTACGTAACATAAGCGTTAAAACTGGGTCAACTATAGTCAACAATGAGAGCGCAAAGAAGTTAGAGGTTGCCAGCGCCATTATAGATATACGGCATTGGGGACGGAGTACGAGCGAATTATGCGCTGAAACAAAAAAAACGGTATCCCGTCGTTGCCTCGTGGTGGCGCACCTGTAGGCCTATGTGAATATCTGCACAAGATAGTAACAATAATAACTAATCCCCTAGCTTGCATTTTTTGCCTTCGCCACCATAAAAAAAACCAAAAGAACGAACACTTACGGCTGCATTTGCACAGGAGACAGCTCCGAATGCAGTCGTGACTCGGTCCTCAAACCAAAATAAGATCACCACTCCCTGTAAGACTAAAAGAGTTATCGAGAGCAATCAAGAAAAACACGAAAACCAGTCCTGCAAATAACGAAGAAGCAAAGACGCAAGTAAAGTAAGAAGCAGAGAAGAACATGGCAAAATCATAGCAATATAGTACGAGCAAGCTGCTAATATATTACCTCCGCTAGAGGCCAGGTTTTTTTGTTTCCCCCGTAAAACCCCAGCCCGACTCACTCAGAATTTAATGACAATTAAATACGCCCCAGGTCCCCTTCAAATCGGCTCCTATTATGAAATATAATGGCTACCCATTTTAATTGACTTTTGGATAGTGAATCTTTATAATGGTTGAATTTGGAGAAAGACAAAGCTCGTTACATACAGGCAATGTAAAAACTTGTCAAGGAATCCTACCAAACAGGAATGCGTTGCTAACTGCCATCAGGAAGCGTCCGACCAGCATTGTTACGAGTATTGTCAGCCTTGAATTCAACAACGGACCTAAAGCAAACGCCAACCCGCCTAGTCCGCTCAGTAATCCTGCCGCTATCAGGTTTGCTAGAAGGAAAGATTCAGAGGGAAAAATGTTTTCAAATTTTTAAAAGTTACATTTCATATATCGGAAACTTGCGCTGTGTGAATCATTAAAGGTCGATGATATGACTTGATCCCATTCCCAACTCTTGGACTCAACTATTTCATATCTTTAACTTAGGCCAAAAAAAAAAAATACTCGGTCTCTGGTCAGCGCTCGCGTCGATTTTAATCATGCGCGTCAACCTTTTTTTTCTTCAAATTAACACGGAAGCTACAACAGCGCCCTCTATTGCCGCGCCTCCTCAAATTTTTGTACCAAGGAGCACCAAGGAATGGGGAAATTGCACTAAGGCAAATGATAAAGGGCACCAAGGCAAATTATGGAGGACACCAATGTATAATGAACCGTACAAACAAGCAAAATAGTACCCACCTTGTCTGTACAATACAAGCTTGAAAAAAAAAAGCCACCAAAAAAAAAAAAAAAAAAACCGCGTCGACGCATCAATTCCGGAACTTCGGTCTGACCAGAGACCGACTATTTTTTTTTGGCCTTACATAAGTCCCGAAACAGTCAAAAGATATACGTATAGAAAAGTAGGCGTGTGCCCTGTCAATAAGCTCACCTGTTCGACCAAATCTATCGATTGCGATTCCCGCTACAATAGCCGTCACCCCCTCCCTGCAAAAGATATCAGTTTTAACCCATTACAAAACAAGAAAGCTTAATTGCACACTTGTGCAAAAATTTGGTGATGGGGTTCTATGATGACGGAACAATCTATGATGCAGTGGCGTAAGTCGGGGGGGGGGGCCGCTGGGAAGATGCTTCCCGAGACGTTGCAAAGCGTTGGGGCACCGTTTGCCACGAGGTGGCGCTGTTCATAATAGAGTCTTGAGGAAATACATCATGTACACAAAATATAATAAGCACATTCAATACGGCAATTCTCCCCATCCCTAAGGTAACTATGTAAGTTCTTGTGTAAAAATCATGAGCTTATGGACATGTCCACTTAAGTTGGAAGGATGATTTACAGAAACGAAATAGGCCTCGAGGCGTTGGCCTTCTTGTGAACTCTGCGCTTAATGCAATCGTCTCTTGGCCTTATTACTAATAGTCAATATTTAACACAATAAGTCAGTACAATGTTTCTTATTGTAAGCTATCATACATTTTCATTGTAGTAATGTTTGTGTGGTTGCTCAGCCTGTAATTGGCGGTTATTCGTCGCTGGCTGGTGGAAATAAAAATAACAATCCTAAAATAAATAAAAATATAATGTAACAGTCAAAATGCCATATTATTGTAAAATGTTTATAGCAATAGTAATCTAATAGTAATAGTAATTTGAAAGTAAAACTGAAAAAAAGAGTGATGTGTGTATTTCTGACCTCCCCATGATATTTTCAAAAACATATTTGGTTTATACAAATCATTATAATAGTCAAAATGGCCTTGCCGCAAGTCCACCATAGCGTACTCACGCGTTATGGAATATTGACAGCCCTTATACTTACCCGATACTGTAGATAGCGTAGAGCTGGTTGTACTGGAAAGGCGTGAAGCCAAGCCCGGTGAGGTCGCTTCCATTGCCAAACGGCTCAACCTCAGAGCCATTAGTGCTTTGTGGGCTCTGTTTGAATAGAATAAAATCACCATTAAAACTTTACAAAAGAAAACAAATGATGCGTAAAATCGTGCCATTCAGTCTATGCATTCTCATGTTTATATTAATTGAACTATAATAGCACTATACTAATTTAAAGTATTGTTCATTCATAGTAAAATTGAAAAAAAAAAGAGTAATTCGTATTTGTGACTTTTTCCACCTGCGATATATGTTTTGGAAAACAGGAATCTTGTTTATACAACTAGCTGGTACAACAGTAGGCACAAAAAGATAGACCTTTATAAGAAGATGTAGATACCTTATATACTTACAGCTTGTAAAACCCCTTGCAGTGGGCTGGGTAAATCATGCATGAAGTGGATTCCGAACAAAACTACACTGTTGAGGAGAAATATCGCCCAACCAAAAGACGTTCCGTCTTTACCTTAAAGTGGAAAGCGTAAAAGAAACGGGTCAAGATATAGATGTCATTATAAACGGGGGCGTGGCGAATGGAGGTGCTTTTAAACCCCAACTAAAGTTGCCTCAGTCAGCCTAATCCGGGAATTTGGAGGGGCCATTTGATTTAACCAACTCTCTAGCATTTACACCCAAACGAAGGTAGTAAGTGCGTTAAGCCATGACAGCGCTAGAGGGGACCTTTTTCTCTCATAATGTGTTCCTAACCTCAAAGGGCAGCCAAAGAGTACGAGGCTCTCTGTAGATTCGTGCGACCGGCTGTTAATGGCTTTACGTTTAAAAAAAACTCTGCAAGACGTCAGACTACACAGCAAAAAGCCGTGTCCATGTATAGTCCATCATTTGTAATTTGTGCATTTTGTTCGTTTGAAGCAACAAAAGTGCTCAAAATCTAAAGCAGGGTGCTGAACAACTAACCTAATGAAGTTTCAGCTCAGCTTCAGCTGTACATTTTGAGAAAAACAACATACTAGGATCTCGATTTCAAATCAAAAGTTGCTGAATCATGTTTTGAATTGGGCCTGAATTCAGCGTCCGAGACACGTTCTCACTAGCCGATTGCAGCTAAGCGATGTCGCGCACGGATCTGACAAATTATAGCAACTGCGCGCGTGTGCATCGTGCCAACGATTGCGCGCGCTTCGCCGAATAAAAAAACGAACTACTAACAGAAATTTCCAACGGTGCTTCTTAAGACGCACCGTTGGAAAGGCCTTCTTTCGTTGATTTTTTTCAAAAAGACAGCTTGCTAGAAAGAATAATTTCACAGGGAGTTTAGTCCCCTTATTATCTTTCAACCAAGTATGTTTTTCAACCATAATTACGCCAGTTACTTTTTGGATAGCTGCAAATGATGGAGCCGGTCCCATTCATAATAGGTTGGGAATGCGTGTGTAACCGCAGCACGAACCTTGCTATTTGTAAATGTTGAGTACAGAATGCTAGCAACGTCAATGAAACTTTAAAATGAAAAAAAAAACCTTCAGGGGAAAGGCATTATGAACACTTTCCCCTATTGAAAGATCGAATGAAAAAGTGCGTACAATTCCTGGCAAGCATAAACAACTTGGCCACCATGGTCATGGCCGATGTTATTGCTTTTGGGTGTCAAACATGGCGCCACAATATTGCGCAAGTTCATAAAATAATGGGCATGTCATGATTGTAGATAGTTTGAGAGAAATACCGATTCTGCACTGCCTGAAGATTAAAAAAAAAAAAAAAAAAAAAAACCTCCTCTGTATATTTTACAGTGTTGGGGGTGCTGCAGCACCCACAGCACCCCCCGTTCCCGCGGGCTTAAGGTATAAAAGTAAACGAAATAATAGAAGTCTGTTGGTATCGAAATTTGATGTGAGGGAAAACTTTAAACATTTCTCGTGTAGGCTATCAGCAGAGTTGCTGACTCAAGTCATGTGACTTGGACTCGAGTCGGACTCGAGTCGCTATTTTTGTGACTTGTGACTTGACTTGTAAATACCAGCTTTGACTTGTGACTTGACTTGGACTTGCAAACAATGACTTGTGACTTGACTTGGGATTGCAAAAAAATGACTTGTTACCAACCCAAGTCAGACGCTACTCGAGCGACCCAATACACTTTAATTAAGCTATTATACTTTTAATTAGCTATTCGGTTTACGCCTTACGTGCATTAAAAAACGGACTTTGGCTTGCGCGGTTTCTACTTCGCCCAGCTGCAGCTGTAGATCATATCAGTGAGCTGAGCTGTTACGTTGCGTACGCGCGCGTGATAGTGAGTGAAATAAATAGTGACCTCAATATGTCATGATTGACAAGCAAGCATGGCGGCTTCTAGCGGTGTTGTTCCACAGGTGGTGAGTTTCGCACGTGTATTCAGTCATGTAGGAATAATTATGAGGCCACACAGAGCAAAGTTGAGTGATACTATGCTATCAAATGTTGTTTATTTGAAGTGCAACCGTTTGTACATGAAACAATATATTTTTTTTTAAATTGAAGTCGCCCAACACAAGGCCCAAAAAGGCCACTCAAGGTGTTTATAAATGCAGTTTATAGATGCAGCGAGAAAGTTTCATTCCAGAAAATAGACCTCAGTGACTGAATCCAGTAAAATTAATAGTTCCCACTAGTTTCAAAAGTTTTCAGTAAGACTGTCACAACAAACTACAGTTTTCAATGACCAAGTCTCTTGCTTAATGTAATGGTTGAACAAACTTTTAAAGGAACCTTTCATGAAAAGAAAGCAGGCCTTTGTCAATTGCATGTAAAATACCGGATAGCCTAACCCATTGATAGGCGTTTAGTATACATGAAAATTGAACAATAAAGTGTTAGTATACTACATGTAATCGAGTGAGTGAAGTCTTGTTTTCATGTCATCTCAACATTTATTTCTAATGTGCAACTTGACGTGTCCTTGGACAAAGATACTTGTGACTTGACTTGTTTTTAGACCAAATGACTTGTGACTTGACTTGTGACTGGACCTAATGACTTGTGACTTGACTTGGACTTGCAAACAATGACTTGTGACTTGACTTGGACTTGCAAAAAATGACTTGCTGCCACCTCTGGCCATATCCCATATGTTGTTTATATTATAAGACTCATTAAATAGAACATGTGCATTATGCATGTAGCATGATTATTGATGGTATCTATACTGCAGTATTATTTTACCTGCACCAAGCAGCTTCATGTTTAATAATAGGTTGATTAAAAAATACTGTACATAGATTACCACATTACAGATGGTCCCCCGTGCTTTATTCGTGTTGTACCTCGAACAAAATATGTTTTAATTGTTATTTTCCTGGCACTAAAAAGTTATCCAACATTAAGTTATTGAATTATTTCTTCATAATCAAATTATCTGCCGGACGGTAATTCGGCTCTCGCATGGTGGGTTCATTTTGTGCGCAAAATGATAAAGTATGGTTCTTTTCGTCAAACTGACAAACCATACAAATTGAAAAGTCGTTAGGAGAAAAATAACGTTGTTTTTAATAGCACGGGGTATACATCTTACAATAGATGTGCTTCCATCCTGGCTCTCTATATACTTATGCCTACAATGAGCGAGTTTTCTCAAAAAGAAGAAAGGAATCGATTTCTCTGGTCAATTCTAGTCCATCCATTCAAATTCTATTTTTCAACATTAATATTGACCTAGGTCCACAGTCTCTAGGTGGTTTATGACAATAATACATGTAGTTTGGTTACGGTTAACTCACCCAAATTAGTATCCATTGTAGTAACGAACGCGAAGGCTGTCATTTGAGCACGGGTTGCACACCTCCGCACAGCAAGGAAACAAACTGCTCGTCTCAGTAGGCCCTATACTGTTGGTAATTGGGGGCGCTCCGGCTTTTATCTAAATTTTGATCTACAATAATTAAAAACTGTCCCAATAAAAAATGTCGAGGCCATCTGGTTCAATTGACCATGGATCGCAAATTCAATTCAATTCAGGTAGGCTATAGGGTTTGGCGCTTTTGTGAAGAAAAGGTCAAAAGATTACTGCTTTGTGCAAAGGTGCCTAATGACACGTGCATTATTATGGTATTCTTATTCAAAATAATGCTAAACCACAGTTACTATACCTTGGAATTCAAACTGCGCGAATGCACCTCACGATTTGACTATGGGGTCCAGACCAGTAAATAGACTTCCATAGGCCTTAGTGGTAATGGACCGATCCAGTAAGCACCGCCCCATGGTGTTCTGACCAATCACAGCCGTGATTAATGTCCGACGTGCGTGCACTAAAGTCCGACATGCGTGCACGCGCGTATGATGCGCGCGGCAGGAAAATGCAGCGTGGCATTGGAGAGGAGCACGGTTAATTTGCCCACGTGCGCACTGGGCGGGGCTTACTGGATCGGTCCATTACGGGCACTTCCAAAAATTATTTAAAATACTCACAACTCTCCGAGGTCTTCAAGACACGCATCAAATTAAAGCTTATTTCATCATCGTTCATTTTCTGTTCAATTTTTGGGAGTTAACCGATGACTTTTGGGGAAAATTCCAACCAAAGATGATCACCCCTAAAAGCAGTCCTGAAGCCCATCGCCATTTTGAAAATGGACGCCTACGCTCCATTGCAAAATAGAGCCATTTTAGGACCTAATCATCATCCAAATTTCACGTCACAAAAATACGACTCGCAGTCCTCTGCACGGCTTCCACCCTTCTTTTTTGCACAAATCCTCAAGTTCACGGCCCTCCAAATGCTCTAATAACGGAGAATTTGAGGGCATGCAAATCGTGATTTGGCCGGCGCAGGCAATTTCGAACCGATTTACTGGTCTTCACCCGTAGACCTTTCTCAGGGTACGCCATCTATAGAAAATCATAGCGCGGCAAATAAGGCAAACAAACATGTCAACGAAAACATGTGTGCGGTGAACAAATGATTCTCGCAAAGTTACAGCAGATTGACAATCTTATAAATATATTTTCAAGATGGCGTAACATGAGAAAGGTCCATTGTCCAGTTCAAGATGAACACAGCAACATTAAAAATAGGCCTACCGAATCAGCTGTACAAATAGTTTTACCAAACTGTATAAACAGTTTTCATATGTTATTACTAAACGGGGTACCTCTTACATTAAGTTGCAGCATATATTTTGATGTACCGTACAACATGACACAGTTATCAAGAATTTGGTACTCCCCCCAACCCAACTGACAATTTAAATTCGCACTGAAACCGACGGTTTTATCACTGTTTCTTGTTGAGAGGATTAAAAAAAAGGTCCTCAATTCACAATGGCTTATTTTAAATTATGCTTATTTAAAAGTCTATTAGGATTCTGCATTAAAAATCTACACCTCTCAACGATATATACATCGCACTGGTGAGTAAACAAACATTACAAAATTATTACACAATTAAAAAACTCAAAAGAACAACTGAGACTTAAAATCACTTAAACATATAACACTTTATAGTTTTAACGAATATTTACAAATACCTGAGAAAGTAAAGCTATTCCTATTGGTCGAGAGTCAAGTCAAGTGGGTGGTGTTACACCAACCTCGTCTCCGTGGGTACGATCTTGCTGCGCCGCGCCGGCTGCTATCATGCCTTGCTTGTGAATTGAAATAGATGCAGGAATACGAGGTGCCGTTCTGCATTTACAGATCTTTTACGCTACGAGTCAGAATTTGTTGTTATTTTAATTTAATAACAAGGAATGCACAAAGGTTTACTCATCATAACTCATATATCCTATAGCGATACAATTACCCTAAAAAAAACCCATAATAGCGCGACTAGTTCTATATTAAACAAAACATATAAATTTGGCCTTGAAGTAAATGAAGCCTGCAGATGGGACGGCCATAATTGGAAAACCGTGGGCGATCTCTGGTCACCTTTCCTAAACTCTTGAGGGTTTCGGCGCCATGGCAAGTTTTTTGAGAAGGCCTACACATTAAATTACCAATTATTTAATTAACATGATACTACAGGCGCGCAGCCTGGGTTTTGTTTGCCCAATGGTAAATAGAATTTCCATCCCATTTAATCCCTTTTCAAGTCCCGTTTCTAGTGTGCTTCTATATCGGTCCCAATTATCGTTTTGTAATCTGACACTCAAGCTGCACCCCCTACTCACTGGCTGCCTACTCACTGCCTACTCCAATGTGATAATGGTCTATGCTGAAAAAGGCCATCCATAAAAAGAGTATTTCCATTAAAACTCCTATCATTCCAAAGGCCCCTACCAACATCTGCTGGTGTTTTCCCCCATACCAGACCCACCCACACCCCCCTCCAAGTCCATACCATTCAGGTACAGGGTGAGTAAAAAAAAAAGCGGATCCCAAACCTCCCAAAATATATTTCATATTAAAAAGAATATGTAGCACCAAAATTAATAATGACTGGAAAGCCAATTTCATAAACTACTTTTACATGAAAAAAATAGTTAAATTGCTCAATCCGTTCAATGTATATCACCATTAAACACAAAGACCCTAAAACCTCTTCGTCCAAAAAATGCGATTTCAAGAATCGTCGTCACAATTGTCTTCAAACATCACCAGCGATAAAACCTCAAAAATATTCAACAGAGTCTTTTGAAAGCGGAAAAAAAGTGGATTTTAAAAATCATATTGTTTGCCTAAGCAGAGTTGTTAATAAAGATATTGTGTACTACAGTTGGTGACAGTTGTTGAAACAAGTATTGTGTGTCATTTGTTGTTCCAAACAGTCAGAATACACAATATTTTTTTTTTTTTGGCTTTCCAGTCAGTATTATTTTTGGTGCTACATATTTTTTTAAAAATATGAAATACATTTTTGGGGGATTGGGTTCCACTTTTTTTGACTCGCCCTTTATTACAATAATTTTTTTCAGGAGTTAGGCTTCCACAAAGCATGCTTGAAAAAACATTTGTTTCAACTCAAATGCATTAATACATGTACATGAGGAATTGCAAGCCCTCAAAGGCTATGAAATGTACGTACGACTTTCCGGAATTGCCTATCTAGCAAAAGAACATTTGGGAATGTGTATCTCAGGGCCCTCAGGAAATTTCCTGGCAATTTTAAGCAATTTCATTTTCCAGCCAATATTGAGAAAAAGTATGTAAGGGGTTAACCTGACATTTTTTATCAATTTTTGGTCAAAAAATTACTGTTTTGGAAACAAGTCAGAAACACTTTAGGATGCATAGTAAACATATGTGATCTGCTCCACAGAGAGGGGTATTATGTTGCAAAACAGTGAAAATGAGTTATATAAGGGATCCTACACTCAAGGATCAACGACTCGGCCCAACTCCTGGTTAGACGCGTGATAACGGCCAGTACTGGTGGCCATGAATACATGTACAGTCGAGTCTCGTTAATACAAACTTGTTCGGACCTAGCCAAATTGTTTGTTATATCAGAATTTTGTATTAAGAGGAACGTCAGTCCCATTCACTGTGCACATAAATGCACAGTCGGGACCAAGGCCTTATGTTTGTTATAACCAGAATTTTGTATTTACAGAGTTTGTACTAACGAGAGTCGACTGTACATGTACTTGTCAACAAAGACCCCTGTGCGCAGCGGCTTTCAGATTTGCAGGGCCAGGCTCTGCGCCCGAGGTGTCGAAGTCGTCAAGCCAGCTAATTATACTTTTGAATATTCATGATCTACGTTTTTGGTCTTTATTATTGAATTCTAATAAGTGATAACTGCATAACCCTGTTATTACCGAGCACAATATCGTAAGCTTTAAAATGAACAATGAAATGTCGCTTTTGTTTCATCGGTTCGAGATCACATCTGTCTTAAACTTCTTAATGAAAGCCTAATTAAAAACGAAAGTTGGGTAAGCGGTGTTCTCCTCGAAATTTGACATTTATTTTCCGGGTAAATACTTCATCTATGACGACAAAAACTATACCATCTGTTATATCCTGAAGTATAAATTTGTAACAATTTTGGGAGAATTATGTCCTACATGAGGAGCAGTTTTGCATACAGTTTTAAGAATATTTCCGTTTAAGATGTCATGCAAAAAACCGACACAATGGCACACCTGGAAAATTCGCGATTACGCGCCAACGGGAATCAATGCCCGTTATCACGCATGAACCAATTAAGGCAAGTCTACTCAGTGCATTTTGTACTGGAGCTCAGAACAGTCGTTTATCCTTGTGTGTAGGATCCGTGGTTATATACATGGTTGGAAAGCCCCCTAATGTAAGCTTTCATTTGATATATAATACATGTAATAGAGCTCCAAAGCCCCTCCTGTTCTGGAGATATAACATACGGTAATTACAAATTAATGACTTCCTTGGAGTTCAAATTACACAACTGAGAAAACAGGCTTTGAAACAGCTGCTGTAGATTTGGGCACGATGCACTCAAAATTGTACATGTTCCCCACTTCATTCATTCAACATTTATGTGAATGAACTACATGATAGTGCACAGCGCAACTTCATACCCTTTTTGGCGGAGCAGGTCACATTATTTCTATACTCTTGAAAGTGATACTTTACAAGATTTGGATGAATATAAAGGATTTTTGCAGAAAAATGTGCAATTCTCTCTCAATTATACCAATTTTGTGTGTGCCATAATTCTATAGAATGGCAAATCTAGCAACAGAACTTTCTGGAATGTGCTCTTTAGACCCTAAGGCATCTTCCTAGCAATTTTCAAGCAATTTCATTTTTCAGCCAAATTAAAAAAAACCCTCATTTTGATCAAATTTTTGTCACATTTTGAAATTTCTGGCAACGACTCAAACATTTTAGGAAGCACAATTAACATGTTTTAAGACTCCTGAGTTGAGTATTTCAGATAATTAGGTAAATATACCAAAATTATGAGAAAAAGCTTAGTCTTCACTGATATTTACTAAATAATTTACGAACTGACGTTTGGCAAATCTGAATGAAAATATTAAAAAAAATAAAGTATTACTGAAACAGAAATGCTTGCAATAAAATAGACAGAAAAATAAAATATTTCCATCTGTGCATGAACTTAGATACATGTATTTCATGTAAATACAATGAAATCTAAAATAGAGATACAGACATCTTGCAAGGTACTCCAGAGGATCAATTGAAAGTTGAATAAACATCCTCAAAATGGCACATATTTAATTCAAGAGATCTACATGTTTTCTTTCGTCTGTCATAATCCTTGATTACCACCTTCCCCATAGCCTGATCCAGTCCTTTGTGCATTCATCCAAATGCCAGCCAGCTCACTGGCTCCTGAGGAGCTTGTATAACCGGCTGATGAGGACTGGTTGCTGATACTGGAGCTGCGTGACTTGTCCCCCAGTGATTGGTCAACCACAGCTTGCGTCCGCTCGCGCCACACCCGGAAAGCAGTGTACAGGCGACGGTTCAAGAGGTCTCGTCTCAAGCCGTTGTTTGCAGGCGTGGCCTGTTTGCGCCACGCCTTGAAGGACTGAAAGAACAGACGAGGATTGCAGATGTTCATTAATGGATGAGCAATCTGTTAGTGCCAACACTGGGTAGATGAACATTTGCTCCTTGCACCACAATTGACAATGTCAACTGAATACATCATTAATTAACCCTCCTATGCTAGCATACATGCTGTGTAAAGTTGTCCTTTCAATCAAAATCAATAAAGTGACAGTTATTTGCAGTTAAGAACTTCCAGCCTACATACAACAGGATTGACTGGTTATGACTGTTTATGTAACTTGATACAGCTATGCTTTGACTGTAGGTGATTGATAAGCCAGCTGTGCCTACCACTTGCCTGCTTTGGTTCATTGACTGAATTTTACTAGTAACAGTGCTTACTTGAAGTATGATCTGACTGTTGGTGACTAGCCTTTGTAAGAGGCATGGCAGTGGAAGAGGATTGATCTGTTGACTGTCTGTGACTGTTCGAGCAGCAGGAGGGTTAATTGGCTTAGCAATGATGTTTACATGTACATGAAAAGCTAGTTTACGCACATCACATTGATGTGCCAGATGAAATACGCAAGCAGTAATTTTATTTAAGCGCTAACTACAGGCAAATGTTGATGAGGAGAGTTTTGGTTTAGACAAAAACTTGTCAACATACATGTTCATGCCTTTTTCACAAAGTTTACTCAACTTTCATTTGTAACTATACTCTAAGTAAAACACAAAGGTTATATATGTTACTTTTAAAGCATGAAGTTATTTGGGTGCAACTTGCTCCTGTAATACCCCCACCTACCCCCCCCCCCCCCCCCAAGTACTGTGGCAAGTACTTGCTTGCACAACACTGAGCTCAATATTGGGCCCTTATGAACAAAGAAGCTTGAGAATGCATAGTATAAGACTGACCTGTTCTCTGAGTTGACGCTCACTATATTGCTGCATTGTCTTAGACATTAGACTTTGGATCATGCCTCGTCTCCAGATGACCCAAGCTCTCTGAATTGACCAATACATGTCCTACATGTAGGAAAGGATAAAATGCTGCTCTTACTTGATTCATCAAAACACTGCCTAATCATCACTTAGTTGAATGATGCAACTGATTGGATGCCGACTTGGACCTGCTACCCATACTAGTGCTCTACCGACTGAGCTACCGGTATCCAGTCCTGTGTTGGTATCCCATACTAATAAATAACTAAATGCATTAAATGTGAAATCTGCTTTGAGTTTTTATGTAGCCTGGTTTTCATTTTGATTTTTCCCCACAAGTGGCATGAAAACCTTTTTTTTTTCCATTGCCTTCAGAGCGCACAAGTCATCCCTGCCCAAGTTAAGAGTCAAGTTATATTTATTCAAACTGACTGGCACTGGCACAATACACTGAGAAATGTTGTCAATGTTTACCGAGTCACTTGTTTGGCAAACAATAGAGCCTGAAAGTACGCCATTTTGTCTTTGAGCTTCCGGACCCCTCCGCGAGCCTTCTATGGGCATTTTACATCAGACACAGGCCTGCCAACTAGTACAATTCTGCCGTATTTCGTACAGGATTTTGTTGAAAATACAACCGTACTTTTTTCCTCCATAAAATAAGGGTTTTGATCATTTTTCTCACGCCTGAAAAAAAATCCAAGTTCAAAGCGGCTGTGAGTGTAGCTAGATAAAATCAGCTGAATCAACGTACACTGCACGAACTGAATCTGGTTTCCCGAATGTGCTCAAATAGTATATATACCAGTATGACCCTTTTTGACCACCTTTGAAATCGCAGTTTGGGACGTGAGAAAAACGATTTATTGAGTGGTCGGGCACAACCCGACCACTCTTTGCATCTGTTACGATTAATCTTTCTTTCTTTCTTTCTTTCTTTTTTTTTCCGGACAATACTTCTCCGCAGGTTTTCTCCTAAACCGTATATGGTATGAACTTGTAACTTTCAATATACATCGACCCTCATCCGATGTGGTGCATATTACTCTGACGGCATGATGACGTCATCCGGTGTCAAATTACAAGCGATTTTAGGTGAACAAGGGTCCAATTACTTTCACTTATAACTCTTGAACAGCATAATCAGTGATGTTTATATTTTGTAATCAAATAGACCATGAATTGATTAACATTTCTTTTTGTGTACGTGAACTCACTTGACCCTTTCTTCCGGGTCAACCGGAAGGTTAAACTTAGGTGAATTCAAAATGAAGACTTTAGCCTAAAATCAAAACAAAGCAAAACTTCTTCCATACGGTTTACGGTATGATCATAAAACCCAGTGTAAACTTGTACCACGTTACGAAGATACTACATATTTTGTTACGTCATCATTACGTCACCCTTGTGCTATTTTTTAGAACACGCGTAAAAACATGTTTTTAGAACTTGCAAAATTGTAATTTTTACCCTATTTTTGTCCCTCAAAAAGTCAACTTGCCAGGTTTCTCAGAATATTTTCCTTCTGGATTTGATCAGAGCCAACATTGGTCTTTCAATATCTGGTGAGAGAAGTTTTTGGGAATCGTCCCTCGCTAGTTTTCCTCTCATACCTTAAATGCAGACAATTACTCTTTCGTGCCATTCTTTCGTTAGCTCGGAGCAGAATTTTATTAGCCCATGCAAAGACAAAGAAAAACATTAAAAATAAATTTATTTTTAGATGTTAAGCATATGTTGCATAAAACTCCAAACTCCATACTGAAGTCTACCTATACGGTTTCTATTTTTGAGCTGCCATATTTTTTTATGTGCAGCTCCAGACATGCGCTTCAAAAACTAGACCATGTCTGCGTGTTTTATGTAGGCCTATGTCTGCCGAGTCAGCAACAAAGTTCATATAGTCTAAGAGTAAACAGCGATCAATATCTTTTTTTATTGCTTTAAAAAAATTCCTTTAAGGCATTTTCAGCAAAGATGTGTTAAAGTTTCAGTCTGTCGTCCTGTGTAGAGAATATATATATATGGGCCTGTTAGGCGCAAGGAAGCTAATTCAAACACAATAACCATCCCTGCTCTGACAGGTAGCCATTTACTCCTGGGTGGACAGAAGCAATGGGTCGTATGTATAAAAACTAGCATTTGCTTTTACTACCCATTTTTAAGCATTTACTTACATTTGTATGAATAAAAATGAAGCAAATGCTTTTACTGGAAAGCATTTGCTGAAAGCTAAAAGTATTTACTTTTTACTTGCTAGCTTTCGCTAGACTAGAAGTGTTTACTTCATTTCGTATGAATAAAAAGGAGTAAATGCTTCAGATTTCAAGCATTCACTGGTCATTTTTCAAGGCTGGGTTGGGGCAACCTTGAAAATATAAAGCAAATACTTCTGCGCAAAAACTGCTGCATTTATTAATATTAATCGCGCCAAAATTGACACAAAACGTTAATAAACTACATATAATACCATACACTGTATTTTGACTAACATTTATGCGCAATTTTTATTATGTATTTTATTACTAGAATTAGAAACGATTATTTCGCATTTTGTTCACGACATGAGAAGTGTTAGCGTAAAATTCAGTGCGGCACAGAATGATTAAGGATAAATTTTATCCAACGGCACCCTGGGGACTGAACAAAATGAAATCATTTGTTTAGTTTATTAGGTCACCAATCTTTGCAAACCATTATTTTTTTAATATTTCAATAAACAAAACTCTTTGTGTATCGAATGTTGGTATGATTTTACCCACTTTAACACGACTGTGATTTTTATGCAATTGTGACGTCTACAGGACACTGTGGACCTTTAAAATTTTCATGAATGATGAAAGTATACTTTTTGTATTCTGCAACTGCCGAAAAGTGTCATAATTTTTGCTGGATTTGAGGATCAAAATGTATGTACTACTACATGTACCATATGCATCACCTTGATTTGGACTATTACACTACGTGTAAACCCTGTGTGTGTGCGGCAGTTCGTACACACAAAAGAGACCCTATTGTTGGCAATCATTCGTCCATGACAACAATCCAACAGTAAGAAGCATTTGCTACCTGTTGTCTAGTAAATGCTGAACAGTAAAGGCAAACTTTTATTCATACAAAATCAAGCATTTGCTTTTCCTTAATGCTTGTACTCAAAAGTAAATGCTTTTACTTTTTGCTTAAACTTCCTAGCATTTACTAGTTTTTATACATACGACCCAATGAGTGACAAAGTGCCTTGCCCAAGGGCACACGCACCATAACCCCAGGCGGGACTCGAACCCACAACCTGCCGAATTACCCGCAGACCACGAATTCAATACTCCAAGCCACGAGGACGGCCACAGCATTCAACAGATATCAAACTAACCACCGGTTATGTGTTATTTTGCAGCGTGTTTTTATTACTATAATAGTTCTATTTGCCCTAAGTAAATGTTCTTTTGTTCAGCCTTTGGCCGACATTGCATCTTTTGGACAAAAACCCCCAAAGAAAACAGCCCCCAAAATGGCATGCCATTCACATATTGAACTATGAAGAAATTCAGACATGACGGCTTTTGCTCGCACGATACCACGATCAGTGGTGTATGGCCCCGCAAAGGAGTTGTCAATCCCCCTCCCCTCGTGTGCTTATTGCGGACAGATCAACTACAAGACAAGCTTCCATAGTGTTCTCAAACTTGACCTCGTGTCTTAACTGAGCTGTCTAGGAACAATAAAAAAAAATTAACTGGTAAACGCTTGCTGAACTCCTAACATTCCGTTAACGACGTAAATGGAAAGTTTACAATTTGTTTTCCTGAAAATCGAATCGAAGCGAGGATTGTACAACAATTTGTGATATCAACAACATTTGTTGATCAAACAAAATATTACAAATTTTCATTCTAGTTCATTTTTTTATCTTTTTGGGATCGTCCCTCGCTAGTTTTCCTCTCATACCTTAAATGCAGACAATTACTCTTTCGTGCCATTCTTTCGTTAGCTCGGAGCAGAATTTTATTAGCCCACGCAAAGACAAAGAAAAACATTAAAAATAAATTTATTTTTAGATGTTAAACGTATGTTGCATAAAACTCCAAACTCCATACTGAAGTCTACCGACACGGTTTCTATTTTTGAGCTGCCATATTTTTTATGTGCAGCTCCAGACATGCGCTTCAAAAACTAGACCATGTCTTCCGTGTTTTATGTAGGCCTATATATCTGCCGAGTCAGGAACACACTTCATGTAGTTTAAGAGTAAACAGCGATCACTGTCCACTTTTTCATTGCTTTTCATAACGTGGTTGACTGTCTGGCTGTTGAAACCAATAATTGATCAATGCAAATTATTATTCAAGAATACAAAGCAGGAAGAAAATTCCTTTTACGCATTTTCAGCAAAGATGTATTAAAATTTCAGTCTGTTTCAGTTTATGCAGTTGTGTTCAATAGCAAGAGCCAGCGAACGGAACCATTTGTGATATGTGCTCAACAACTCATTCCTCAGACTTCCATTTTTGTTTTCGTTGGGTGATAAAATGGTTAGCATTGGGTGATCGGGCCGATATCGATCACCCTTTATTTCCGTAAGATATATTTTGTGTTCATGGTGCATTGGGTGATCAAGCACAACCCGATCACCGTTTTGAAATTAATGTTCGACTTTTTGGCTGATGGGGTGGATTCTCCATCACATTTTCGTTTTGTGCTGGATCTTCTTTCTGTGTTTATGTTTCTGGACAATATTTTTCCGCAGCTTTTCTTTCAAACGTAACAATGCATAAAGTTCAAACTTGGTTTTAACATTAACCTTGATCCCAAGATGTACATACATGTGAGACGTCATGATGACATCCTCTTGTATCAAATTATAAGTGGTTTTCGTTAAAACAAAAGTGAGAGCCGATTGTTGAGTGGTCGGGCACAACCCGACCACTGTCTGGATTTGTTCTCATAAATCTTCTTTCTTTCCTTTTTTTCCGGACAATACTTCTCCGCGGGTTTTCTCCTAAACGGTATATGGTATGAACTTGTAACTTTCAATATATATCGACCCTCATCCGAAGTGGTGCATATTACTCTGACGTCATGATTACATCATCAGGTGTCAAAATACAAGTGATTTTATCTGAAAAAGTTACCAATTACTTTCACCTATAACTCTTGAACTCAATAATCAATGATGGTGGTATTCTGTAATCAGATAGACAATTAACTGCTAAACATTTTTTGTCGTGTACGTAAACTCGCTTGACCTTTACTTCCGGGTCTACCGGAAGGTCAAAGTTAGGTGAATTCAAAATGAAGACGTTAGCCTGAAATCAAAACAAAGCACAATTTCTTCCGAACGGTTTACGGTATGATCACAAAACCATGTGTGAACCTGTACCATGTTTCGAAGATGTTGTAAATTTTGTTACGTCATCATGACGTCATCAGATATAAAATTACAAGCGATTTAAAGGCAAATTTGGACAAAATAGTTTGCGTTATATCTTTTGAACTAAATAGAGTATCGTGTTCGTTTTTTCGTGAGGTTGTAGACTATGCCGTGACTAACAGTTCTTGTCCCCGGACACAAACCCACTTGACCTTTACTTCCGGTGTTACCGGAAGTGCAATAAAAACCGAATATAACTCAAATGTGGAAGCATTTTACTACAGACAAATATATTATGCAAGTGTTAAGTGAGAAATGCTAGACACAAAAACAGTGTGATGACGTCATCATCCAAAAGGGCACCCCCTAGTGGCACATAAAATAGTGTTTGTTTTCTTTATTTTGAAAACCATCCGTTCAAATTTTACCAAATCGCCCCTTGATATTTGTTGATTAACCACAGATAACTTGGCAAGATTTCAAATTCATGACGTCATCAGACCGGAAGTTACTTCTGTGAGAATTTGAAAACGATCATATTTTAAATTTAATTCTATCATTTGATCCATGTCGTATATCTTCGAAGCCCAAATAACGATATACATTACAATGTTCACCTTTTTCGTCCAAATACTGTGACGTTATTTAACTTCACAATGAACATTTATCCACTCCGAACTAAATGAGTAGTCACTTCCCGTGAACATATACCATGGTACAAAAATGTTATTAATTTTGTTACGTCATCATGACGTCATGAAGTATCAAATGACAAGCAATTTAAGGGCAAATTTTGACAAAATAGTTTGTGCTATATCTTTTGAACCAAATAGAGTATCGTGTTCGTTTTTTCGTGATGTTTTTTCGTGATGTTTCTTGTTCCCGGAAACAAAACCGCTTGACATTCACTTCCGGTGTTACCGGAAGTGCAATAAAAACGGCATATAACTCAAAAGCGGGAGCATTTTAATACACACATATAAATTATGAAAGTGTTAAGTGAAGAATGTCAGACACAAAAACAACAACAGTGTGATGACGTCATCATTCGAAAGGGCGCCCTCTAGCGGCACATAAAATAGTGTTTGGTTTTTTTTAATTTGAAAATGATCGGTTCAAATATTTCCAAATCGCCCCTTGATATTCTTTGATTAGCCACAGATAATTTGGCAAGGTTCCAAATTCTTGACGTCATCGGACCGGAAGTTACTTATACGAGAATTGGAAAATATTAATATAATATTTTAGATTTAATTCTATCATTTGATTCATGTCGTATATCTTCGTAGCCCATATAACGATATCCCTTACAATGTTCACGTTTTGCTTCCAAATACTGTGACGTCATCAAACCGGAAGTTAGGTGTTATGAATACATACAGTTATATTTTCCATATTTTCATACGTTATTTAACTTCACAACGAACATTTATCCACTGCGAACTAAATCGGTATCCACTTCCCGTTTTTGAATTATGACGTCATCAAGCCGGAAATAACTTGTATGAGTACAGAAAATGTTTACTAAAATTTATCACACCGTTAAATATGCATTTTTTGAAACAAAATAATTGATTGTACTGGAAAGGATTTACTTCGTGATCCTTTGTTCTTACATAAACATATTCATACTCAATTCGGCAGTGTTTAATGAACAAATTGCCTGCCCGACCACTCTGCGTTTGTAACAACAAACGCGAACCTCTAGTTCCTTTTTGTTTTTGCCTTTTGGCAAATTTCTTTCTTTCAAACTTTAAATACTTAAATATTATACTTAAATATTACAACACACATGCCAAAATGTATCGCTATACGCAAAACATAACATTGATGATAAACAAATGTGGCAAAATTGTACGCCGATCGTAAAATATAAATTATGCATTTTAAAACACGATTGTATTGCGTCAATTGAGGGCGCACTGTTAGCAACCAAATATGACAACGAGAAATCCTGTTCTGTCAAGTTTTTGCTCAAAATTGTTGATTTTCCCAATTCCGTTTTTCAATAGCGGGTGCTAATTGCAAACGTAGGCTCTCTGTAGCTGATGTGCTTCAGGGGATAATGAATAATTCTGATATTTTGGGGGATTTATCAGACAAAGAAGAAAATGTCTGTCTGGTCAGATGACTGTATCAAGTCACCCCTTGGCCAATTTGCCCTAGATTGTTGTTATTCATGTACCTCTTCGTTTCTTTTTATCACTGACAAATTTTCGAAACCTGCAAACAATGCAAACTTTACGACTGATCTACTGTTGAGACTCAGGGTCTCTTGGGTTAGGATGAGATGGGATGTATATGCTCACCATAGTCACTGCTGTGTGGGCAATCTTGCAGCCATTCTTCCAAACGAGACCGTACTTTTTAGCCAGTCTGTTGCTACGTTTCCTCTCTAGTCTACCAATCTTTGCCTCTGTTAACCACAGGCCCAGCACTTTCTTACTACAGATAGCAGGAAAAGGGAAAAGAAAAATGATGCAAATGTTTAGCAAAGGCCCAACTTCCGTGCTCTGCCGTTCATAGAATGCTGGCCTATTTGTCATCAAAGTGCCCTAAGTGTACTCATATAGACTGTTAATACAGTAAGTAATTTATCCCTCAAAGGATTCCCACAAAAATATCTAATGAGAACTTAACCCTATAAAAGCCGTTTTTTTGTTTTACCTTCTCACAGCCAAGGGGCAATTCTCCCCCCCCCCCCAGATCTCAGTTGCCACATGACAATCTTTTTGAAACTCGGCATGCATATAAAGACATCCATTATGAGTACATCTGTCAAGTGTCAATTCAATATGACAAAGGGTTTGGTCATTTATAGTTCACACTCTCCCGCATGTTCAATGAGCACATGGTCAATGAGAAAAGTTATCGTGTGAAGGCTCGGCACAATAAACAAAAACATGTTGCGACGATATCACGAAAACCCTTTGAGGGTTAAATAAATAAAGAGATCACCACATTTGGATAGGTGTGAGTAGGATCAAAATGTGACATGAACCTGATGTGTTGATTGTAGTGCTCATCAGCTAGTTCATCCATATCCTCTTCATACTGTCTGTCTGTCACTCTCAGTCTCCATACAGACCAGCCCCACTTCAGCGTCTGACTAGCCCGATGTCTGGCTGCGCGTCTTGCCATAGCCTCCTGTCTCCACTGGGTAAAGCTCAGCCGCAGCATAGCCTGGTCTCGCCTCTGGAGGGCTCCCTCCAGGCATCCTTTGAGGACCACTGTTCGTTGAAGCTGGTGCATCCAGACGCGCAATGCTGACTGTTGTCTTAGTGTATTACAGGTCCTCTGTGTGGTTCCCGACAGAACTTGTAAGGCAATTGTTCTTTGAACTGCGATGCTCCATCCACGTACAACCCTGAAACAATTAATTGTCTAAATTTAAGCACCAAGATGAACTACACTTGTTTTCCAAATTGTTCAGTCACACAATTGCTATTTCTTAGGGCCCAGGAGGATTTCCGGACAGGTTGTGTGGTAGAATCATTCGTTTTGTCCGGAAGAAGCTCTCATTTGTCCTGGACATGTTCCGGGAACTTTTCATTAGCAACTGCTTGACTCACCAATACTGATAACATCATTGCGGGAAGATTGCGGGGAAGTTGTTCAGATTCCTGCAACTTATACCGATACAATGTCTGGAACTCGTCCCAGACATGAATTGAGATGACCCACTAGTAAATTCAGAGTCATTATTGTGTATTTACTTATGAAGTGATGGAATCTTAAACGGAAGTTATACCTAGCAGAAGTTTTATACTGCGGGACGAAGATGATAAAATAAATGAATAAGTACAAAGATTCTTGAGATTTGACACATACTTTGATTGTAGGACTTGGTTGGCATGAGTTGAAGCCTTACACTTCTGGAGTGCTTCAGTCTTCCAGAATGTGAATGCTGCTTGTATGGTGTGTGATCTGTGGTGAGTGGTTACCAAATGGTACGATGCCTTCTGAGATTTCCTGGCTGTAATAAGATATAACACCACGAGAGTCAGGGAACAAGGCCAGCAGATGAGACAACATACAGGTCAACACAACTGTCAATTTGTTAATAGTGATGGTAAATGAAATATTGCACGACTTGTTCATACAATGCTTTACATTCATATATATACCTAAGACCGTTTACCCATTCCTATTGGTCGAGAGCCCGTCATGTGGCCGGTTTGAAACGGTTGATAAAGATATGACTGGCCGGTCTTAAACACTTTTCCAGTGTCACGTGAAATTTTGACTCCTATGAAATCTGGTGCCAGCACCGTTTTATTGGTTGAACGTTCACAATCCTCACACAGGCATGCGCAATACTACCAGTGAGTCAGTATTTCATAGTCCTAAATTCACCCTACACTGGTACAGTTGCGTTGTGTGCCACATCACGCAGTACACGCCCGTCAATCTCCGTATAAGGAGTTGTCTATCACAGGACCTTACCATTATATTGCTAGAGGGGTGTTTCATTGATCGAAATCGTTGACAATTTATAATTTTTGACTTGTTTTGACTTTTGAACCGAAAAGTTTATATTTTTGTTACTGAAAAGTTATTTATGAATCGGAATAGATATGTGCTTGGTTGGTATTAAACACTCTGTTTCAGCATCTAGACTCCAACCAGTCTTAAACAGAGTGTTTAACACCTCCCAGGCACACATTATTCCCTTATTAACAGATGAGTGGGACTAATGTTTACCTCGGCACCAGTCTAAGAGAGCATTGAACACCGCTGTGTTTACTTGAGTCTGCTTGTCTTCAGTCATCCGTGTTGCTACTTGGGTGTCGGTGAAGGACTTTCGCCAACGTTGCCAGGCCTGAAAATAATTACAACAAAAATGTTGAATCAGTGTACAAATTACCCCCTGCAAAACAAAACAAATCAACTTATTGGTTCTCTATGTACAGTGCTACAGTGCTTACCTTTCTTGAAATGATAAAATTACAATTTACTTGATTGTGTGCAAACCATTTTATGACCAGACAAAGAATGCATATCAATAAAACAGTGAATTATGGTTATGGCATTTTACACCTCGTTACATCCTCCACAATTTTGCTGCAAGGGAACTGAAATGTTGGCCAATTTTAATGCCTAAAGGCCTTACCAGTTTCACAATCTCATAAAAAAAAATGTGGGGTTTTTTTGTTTTGTTTTTTAAAATAGAATGAAGTTATTTAGGGGGTGAAATTACGGATAGACATCTGACACTAAAGCTAACCAACCATTTACCATATTTGTCCAAATTCTATTTCGCAAGTTTATCCTAGTTCAAGTGTCATCTCAAAATTGACTAAAATTATATTTTTTTGAGCAAATTTGTGTCTAATTTCATCTTCTACACTTTACTAATGTGGCCTAGTGGATCAGAGGGTCAGCGGTTCGAATCCAACTACTGGCCATATGTTGCGTCCTTGGGCAAGCCACTTCACCCCACTTGCCTCTCTCCACCCAGGAGCATAAATGGGTACCAGCATTAGCTGGGGAGTAACCTGGCATGGACTAGCATCCCGTCCAGGGGGAGTAGAAATATTCTCAGTCGTTTCATGCAACTGAAACCGGAGATAAACGCCGGCCTGATGGGCCACATTGGCTCGTGAAAGACTTTACTTACTTTTACTTCCACTTTACTTTTGATTTTGATAAATTCAATTTATTCTAAAACAAAGGAATCAGATACCTTGTTCTGTACGACAGTGTTGTGTCTCCTCACTGCCAATCCTTCCATGGTCTCATGATGCCAGGCTTGTATCACCCTGGCTAGCATCTCTGCTGCCCTCTGTTGATAGAATACAGCCAGTCTCGTCTCCAGATCTTTGCAGTACAGATGGTCTTGCTTCCATTTCTGAAAGGACGCTGCAACCTGTCAAGAATCAAGAAGTGATACTAGACTATTAGGTCCGGGAGCTTGTTGCAATACTGCAGTCTTAACCGGCTGGCTTAACCAGTCCGATTATAGCTGGTTATTGCTCTTAGACAGTCTTGGTTAAGACATCAAACTTAGCCCATTGCAATGAACTGGTCTTTACTAAGCCTGCGTAAAGTAACGATTCACACAAAAAAAAGTGGTTACGGGCTAAGGTACTCATGCGCCGTAATACCAAGGAGACTGCACAATTTTTTGGTAGTCTGATTGAACTCATGCGAAATCAAATATGTCAATTACGGAAATTTATGTTCAGAAAATTGTTATTGCAAATACAACTCAGGGTCATTATATTTCGCTAGAAGATTCCTTCTATCTTGGAAAATCCTCTCCAAGCAATATTCTGCTATTTAAAATAATCAAAATCTTAATATTAACTAAAAAAACATTCTGGGAAAAAAACATTTCAACACATGAGGCTTAGAAGGAAAATCCCAACTACAGACCGTTTTAAGCCAGGCCAACCCAGGTTGACTATTATAAATAAAGTCTTAACACTTGGACCATGACATTGCAATGGTCTAACTCTGATAGCCAGAGCTAACGCACATAGACAGCTTCAAGACTGATTACTGCAATTCGCCTCGGGCGTGCCAAACTCGAGTGACATGTGCTTATGCATCTATGTGATACTCTGCAGTGTTTTGTTAAAGGTGCTACATGCATGGAAATACCTGTCAACATTATTATTTATTTTCCCATCACGTGCAGGTAAGGTGCACATCGCCCTCTAGAGATCACGAATGGAGATGAAAGTCGACTTTCTTGATATTGAAAAATGTAAATCATGGATGAGTAAATCTTACCACTTTCTTGCATTTGTTTTTCTGCCAGAGCAAAAGTGCAGTTTGTCGTTGTCTCTGAACTGTGGCAAATGTGTGCCAACCACTAACACATCTGAAACCATGAAAAATACATTAATTCATTTCAATGTACTTGGGTGCAACTTACTTAATCTGGTTACCAGACCAAACGATTCTGACTATTCTGAAATTTTATAGACGGTGTATGGCACCATTCCGCACCCGTTGATTAGCAAAAGAAATATCACATAGTATCCACAACTTACAAACTAAACCCATGAAAATTTATAATAACATAAAATATGAATTTCATAATCATATGATGGCCTGAGATTGTCATAATTTGAAAACCACATTTGAAAAAAAAATATATTTTAAGAAACAAAAACGTCTTTCAAAAAAAAAATTTCTTCTAAGCCCTTTTAAATCAATCAAATTTTTAAAATCAATTAAACCATTTCTCAAGTTTCCCTGAACAATGAAAAACACTGCCATGTAGATCAACAATGAAATGAAAATAATGATATCATTTCTGACATACATGTATTGCAAAATGGACAATTCAAGAAAGAACTACTTATCCAACGACGTTTATTGCCAGTGCAACAGTGTATATACGCCCCAACACACATACCTGCTTGATGACATTCAGACAGCGAATGCAGAAAAAGGTCAACTTGTACTCAAGTCAAATCGTACCCATCAAATTCGTGCCCAGGTTAACTCGTACCTAAGTTATATTGTACCCACCTACCGTGGCACTGCCATTTCGACAAACCACTGGCAGTAGCGAGAATTTGGCGTATGCACACAAACTAAGTGGAGTAGATGAACATACATGCTTAGCAAATTATTAAATAAAACAAATGAACAATTTAGTTTTGAGCAAGTTATTGTTAAAAAAGATTCTGCAAATTCTACCTTTCAAGTATGACATGATTGCGATGACCTGCTGCCTTCCTATGCTGTTGCCATGCCAACTTCCAAAACTCAAATGTCTTCTGGCGTTTCATGGTGTCATGATGAGTTTGGTACAAGGTCAGTGATTGGACCAGGTCTTTGGATTGTTGTGTTCGTTTCCTCCAGTGATGCACCATTCTGAGTACAGATAGCTTTGTGGACTTTTGTTTCGCGCAGTGAGACTGCCATGTACAAAGGGCCTACAAGATAAACCAAAAAAGTGAACAAATTTTTGTAAGCTGTCATATAGTACATGCAGCTGGAGGCATTGCAAAAAGAGAAAGTCCAAAATCTTGAAAACTAAATATAATTCATTTCCATTATAGTGCCAAAGTGTATTGTTCAGTGCTCAACAATCATTCAAAAATCAACACGATCAAAACTTTAAACTTGATTAATAAATACCTTGGAGAGTTGATGGCTTCTGATTGGTCGAGACTCGATCACGTGGGGACGTATTAACAGTGATATAAAGACCGGCTTCAAAAACAAGGAATAAATGGCCCCTGAACCAGCATTAATCCAGCATCATGTAAGCCAATGATTGGCCAAATATACAACAGTCCTACAGTAGCTTGTAACAATGCAGCAGTACACATGCGCTCAACCACCATCGTGTGAAGACTAACGCGAGCGTATGCAACACAGTTGCTCTGCGCGTGCGGATACGTCTTGAAACGACATGTTCACACTGAGGATATTTACAACAAAATCGTGGATCTGCGATTTATTTCTGTATACCAGTACACGTCACCCACGGACATATTTACTTTTCTAAACCGAGCATCTTTGTAATTTTGGACGCAATGAATATGTAAACAAAATTCCAGCTTCCTCCGTCAGGTTAAAATATGAAAAAAAATTGTTGTAATTTTTTTTCGCTATGGCATCAGAAGTTCATACCTTGGACGTCAGTCGTAATGCAATGAAGACAAATAATGCATTAAAGAGAACATATTGCAGGCATAAGCTAAAATATGGCCCCTCAACATGAACACAAAAAGTCTGGAAATATCGCCGAAAGAAAAGTCACAAAACTGTTTATTTTGTTAACAAAGTATTTACAAAACCTCTCCTTCGGCTGTCCATTAACAGCGGCCATCCCCTAACCCGGTCATTATCAGTGAAGACTGAGTCCTAACACTGTTATTCTCTAATTATCTGCACATATGCCTGGGCTAATTACAACCTTTTCCTTAGCACATGATGAACTATCCTACTCTCCATACACACGAATTATGATCTCCATTTCTAACCTTGCTAGATCCTTCAAACACAGGCATTTGGTTTGGGAGAAAATGCAAAAGGCACACGTACGCAAGTAATAGAAACTATAACACGAATGGAATTTACAGCAGTAACATAACAAGAGTAAGCATTTGGTTATCGGAGGATTAGGTTAGCATTCCTCCATGGGCGCGTGTGCGTTCCTTCACTAACCCCTGGCCATACTGAGTGCATATTTTGAAGACTGCAAGCCCTTTATGGGCTCACACGCTATCTCCTGCGTGTCACGTCACGTACACAATTTTTTTTTAAACTGCGCACTGCCTGTACAATACGAATTGTGGATTCCTCGTTTTGTTGGCTCCAAAACTTGTAACTCGAGTCGTAAAGGAAGCGACAGAGGTACGTACATTAAATATAGATCCTTGATGCAAAATCTCATGTTTGAAAGGATTGATTCTACACACAAAACAAATTTATAAATTTATATAAAATGCATCGGGAGTTAAATACACTGACTGCAGTCTTAATTTCACTGTGCTACTATTTGGCACATTTAAATTACACAATTCCAGGGGTTAAGATAGGGCAAGGCATGATGGAAAGCAACATGGCGCAGTATTGATCGTGCCCATGGAAACAAGGTTGGCAGGCCTCAGACTGTGTGGTTGTAATGGGGTCCAAGCAGTAAACATATGGCATTTTTAACACCAATATCTCTGTGTGGGAGGGTACAGTTTTCATACACTTGTCTAGTGCAACAAAATTAAAGTAAAATAAGAAATGCCATTCAGCGAGAGTTCTTACCCATCTGAGTAATCTCTGTTGATTGTACTTCTCGCTGCGGCATCGCTGTGTGTACCTCCTCCAATCCCACAATGCTTTGCTGAGCTGCTTCTTCCTGAGCCTGGCCTGTATCTGTCGAGCCAGTTGACTTGCTCTGTATGCTCGCTGCCAGGCCTGGAGGACGCTGTGTTTGAGGTGGCTGTTCCTTTGCTTCTTGATGACTGCGCTGGTGAAGTTCAGGGTTTGTAGGTGTGAGGAGTGAGAGTGCCATGCCAACAAATGCCTAGCAAGTCCAACCAAAAAACAGTACGAACAATTATTGTGATGTAATAAATGCGAACAAAATTTATTCACAACAACAATTTTAATATCAGTTTAAATCAAGCTTTCTTGAGTCCTGTTTTCTGCAAGGAATCTAAATATTATGACTGGATAAAGAGAAATCAAGTCAAACAGATTTTTCAGAGTATTTAGTGAAAGGTTGGAATCTGGCAAATAATAAATAATACATCTGGGGTAAGTTGGTGTAAGTGTGGAATAGTTGGGGTAAGTGTGGAATAGTTGGGGGAAGTGTGGAATAGTTGGGGGAAGTGTAGAATAGTTGGGGTAAGTGGGGAATAGTTGGGGCAAGTGTGGAATAGTTGGGGTAAGTGGGGAATAGTTGGGGCAAGTGGGGAACAGTTGGGGTAAGTGGGGAAAAGTTGGGCTATAAGTGGGGAATAGTTGGGGTAAGTGGGGAATAGTTGGGGTAAGTGGAGAACAGTTGGGGTAAGTGGGGAATAGTTGGGGTAAGTGTGGAATAGTAGGGGTAAGTGGGGAATAGTTGGGGTAAGTGTGGAATAGTTGGGGTAAGTGTGGAATAGTTGGGGTAAGTGTGGAATAGTTGGGGTAAGTGGGGAATAGTTGGGGTAAGTGGGGAATAGTAGGGGTAAGTGGGGAATAGTTGGGGTAAGTGGGGAATAGTAGGGGTAAGTGTGGAATAGTTGGGGTAAGTGGGGAATAGTTGGCATAAGTGTGGAATAGTAGGGGTAAGTGTGGAATAGTTGGGGTAAGTGTGGAATAGTTGGGGTAAGTGTGGAATAGTTGGGGTAAGTGTGGAATAGTAGGGGTAAGTGGGGAATAGTTGGGGTAAGTGTGGAATAGTTGGGGTAAGTGTGGAATAGTAGGGGTAAGTGTGGAATAGTTGGGGTAAGTGGGGAATAGTTGGGGTAAGTGGGGAATAGTTGGGGTAAGTGGGGAATAGTTGGGGTAAGTGGGCAAAAGTTGGGGGAAATGAGGAATATGGAAAAGTGAGCCATAAAAAAAAGGAACAACTGGGAAAACATTTGAAATAGTTGGGAAAGAGGAGGAAACCTCGGACAAAAAAAAGATTGAAATAGTTGAGGAAGGCTGGAAACTGTTGGGATACAGAATGACACAACCGGGACGAGAAGGGGAAACGGTTAGGAAAAGGTTTTCAAAAAATGGAAATGCTGAGGAGAAACTGGAAGCTTTTAGGTAATGTGTGAATGATTACAAACCCAATGGGACATCAGAACACTTACTTTCTGGCCACGTTGGTGAGGTACAACTGCTTGATCCGCTCTGTCTGCTGCTTCTGATGTTTCCAGGTCGTCCACATCTTATGGACTGACCTTTCATCTCGTTCCTGGATCATCCTAGCAGCGGCTGCTTCTCGTTCATGCTTCTTGGAGACATACATGCTCCATCTTCTAACAATCTCCCTGAGATGTGCTACTACAGCTTGGCGATAGAAAGCCTTGGCAGCTTGAAGCTTTATCCGTTGAGATTGCCAGCGGTGCAAAACCTTCAAATCAATATTGATTTCCATTTATCTTGTTTATTTCTGCTAAGGAAACAAAGAGTCTCTCGAGCGCACAGGCGCTGTAGCCTGAAGAGACTGAAAACTCAATCAACATGCAAGCATGGGAAACATTCAAACCAGGTCAGCTCTAGGAAAAATGCAAACAGTTTTGATGTCAGTCAAAAGTGGTCTGTTGCCATTTACTGGTGGATACGGCATGAGTTTTCAAAAGCATTGGGTGATATTTCGTACGGAAAATTCAAAGTTTTCAAAACAATTTTGTGACACTACTTTTCAGGCCAAACTTTGCATTAACTTTGCAGTGAAGAGATAGCAGCTACAATATTTCTTGTTTTCGAAGGTAACTCTTGAAAAGCAACAATTTCTGTGCTTAGTATTATTGAGAAAAGCAAACGCTTCTATAAATCCTGATTCTCACCAACTGTTTCAGCCTCTTCGTCTTGAAGGATTGTAGCTTCTCCTTTCTGATTGTTCTTTCTTTGGTCCAACTGGCCCAAGTAATCAGGCATCTTCATGAAAGATTAAGGTAAGTGCAGAAAAAGTCAAAGCTTAGAACAAGTTACATGTTCTTGAAAGATGCAATGTTGTAGTCAAGTATGGGTACAATTACAAGTACTTTCCCCGAGAATGAGTATGAGTACCTCACATTAAAGTACAAGTACGTGAACAAGATCAAAAAAAATTTTGCCGGGAATACAAGTGTTAGTGCCAGTACATTTTAACAAGTACAAGTGCGAGAACATACCCATGAGTATAAGTGCAATTAAATATTGTCATACTGGTGCAACAAGGTTGTAACTCAATTCTGCAACAAAGACGTATCTCGCGTGAATCACTCCGTGCAACAAGGTCATATCTCGACGTCCATTGACTTTGTGTGTACATCCGGGTTATTTTAAGTGAGAAATGACCTTTTGACATTCTGAAACCCGCGTTTCACGTACGGCCCATTTTAGGAGATACGACGGTGTTGCAAAGATGCGACGATTTGAGTACTTTTGGAGCACGTTTCAATGAGAAATCTCGAAACTGCAGCCTAGCCCTACCTTGTTGTGATCACGCGGTTGTGGTGAGCTTTGACTTCCAGCAGTTGCCAGGTCCGCACTTTCCAGGACCTGAAGCATTCCTGCGTGCTCCGTCGCTGTATCTGATGTCTGAGGTCCTTAGTGCGATCCTCTAGGTTCACTGTCTGCTGAACATATCCCTTCCAGTTATGGACGATACTCAGAACCGCCTTATGCTTCTTGTGCTGTAGGTAGGTCAGTAAGATTAAGATTGCCAACATTTAATTGTTGTTTCAGATTAATACATATTAGTCAGTCCTGATGAAGTAGTCCTGGTCCATGGTCATTCGTGATAAAACCACTGACGTGATGTTACGCGATGTTACGTGAATGCCCATTCTGCTCGTCATTAATATGAAAGCGTCGTGCGCCCGGGTCCGTGTGCGTTCATGCGCCTTCGATGAGCGTTCGATTACCCACAATGACCCGTGAGCCATATCATTGTGCGCATGCGCAGCTGAAATACCGAACTGGCTTAGTAACCACTTCGGGACAGTATTATTTTTGCCGAAAGTTTCGATTTTCTAAAAAAGGCAAAATATAGCATCCAACTTCTGAAAAACAGCCAAATGCCACAAATACCGATTCGCAAGATTCACTTCAACAGTATTTGTACGATATTTCTTACCGCAACCTCATATTTTTCAACACTTTGGGGTGCGCTCACGGAGCGTAAATTTTACAACAGGCCGTGCACAGCAGCAAGTTCAAGTTCAACACACAATCCGCCTCCACAGACTTCTCGGACTTTGTGTGTGTGTACAAAACAAATGGGGGATTAGCGTGTGAAGATGTCATTCGGAGGCGAGTCGAGGCACGCTTGACATTTTAACCCGTCAGCGTGCCTGTGTATAAAAACAGCCAGATCATGTCAACATGTCATCCGACGTGAACTGGTTAAAGCAAAACAAAAACAAAAACTACCTCAATGATTGATTAATCTAAGGATGATTGTGAACCTACTTTATTCCTTGCTGTATTATATAATCAACATCATTTCAAAATTATTGGACGATACTTTGGGTGATAAATGGCCACATACTCGGAGTATTCCCAAGCTGTATGATTATCTTTGAAAGAAGTCTGATTACTGAACATAAAAGCATCTACCTTGGTCTTCCATATATGGAATGCCGAGTTGAGTCTGTTGTTGCTTGCCATGTCCTCTGCTTCTGTCCTCTGCCTCGTGTACCTCTGGTAGTTCCGACTGTATTGGATCCATGTATTCAGATGAACCAGTTTGCTTTTCATTTCCTAAAAGAATTTAACATCCAAACTTGAAAACACCAGCAGTCGATTTTGGAAAACTTTGCCAACTATGTGACCTTTAATTGTGAAATATTGTGCAACTTACACAGCGTAGTTTTGACCATTTTAACCATCAGTCAGTGACTTGCACACAAAATTATGTAACAAATGCAGTTGGAATACAGATGCACTGTCTGTGCTATTTTCAAATTTCAAGCCAAAGTAAATTTTGTTTTTGAATTGCTATTTTTCTGGCAAAAATCACATAATGAGAGGTTTGCGGAAACACCATGTGCGAATAATTTCTCAACTAAGAGAATGGTTCTGAAAAGAACCAGAGGTATAAACTCGACGTTCCGGTCAGTATGCTCTGACCGTCTTCAGGACATGGTGTTTCCGCAAACCTCTCATTATTTAGTATCTCCACCATGCAAAGGCAAAAATCAAGTTATTCAATCTTTGAATGACACATAGGCTGCAAATATTACTTTAAGAAATTTGAATTATGTGTGGCTGACAACAATACAGTTCTTGCAGAGTGGACTGTTTTCCCCCTTTAAGAATCAACAAGGGGGGCAGAGAATCAGTCTTAGTGCACCGTTGATGGGGAAGAAGATGAGCCTTTATGCATGAGAAGAAGAGAAACTCAGAACTCACCCAATGGTTCCTTGCCAGCCTCTCAACATGACACCTTCTCTGCCACGTCATCAAGGCACGATGCAGTCTTATCTGACGGAATAAGTTGTCCGTTCTCTCAGCAAGCTCTCGCAAGTCTCTACGACGGCGAGCGTAGTCAAGCCACTGGTTGAAAGCTGCGCTAGCAGGCCACAGACGCCAATGAAGTATGAGAGATCGCAGGTAGGTCTAAGATGGTGAGGAAATGGAAACCTTAGCTATGAAGTCACGACACCAAAACAATCAGAAAAATGTAAAGGTCGGACCATAATCATTTTGGTCAAAAATTAAATAACATTTAGAAGAACTTACCTTTTGGTCTACCGGTGGGCTGACTGGCGGAGCCCCATCTGAAAAGACGCTCGGAGCATACTCTGATGCGGTCCTGGACCTACTCTCAAGGTCGTAGCCAACCAACTGCATGTAATAACTGCTGCTGCGGGTACTCTCTGGGCCTGTGCTGCTGGAATCTGAGACGGAGGATCTGCGACTATCTGAGATTGTCTGTGACTGCCCTTCTGAAAGTCTGCGAAATGTGAGGGATCTTGGGCTCAGAGGGGAGATCAAATTGGACAGGTGCGAGTGATGACTGTCAGGAATTGTCTGAGACTTCCTTTCAGACAGGGTGGGAGACAGGTGGTGCCTTGGGCTCAGAGGCAAGAGAGACTTGGACAAGTTTGGGCTAAAGGAAGATCTGGGCGATGATGAAAGAGGAGTATGAGATGGTGATGACCAAGGTTGAGGTGGAGAGTGAGAACGGGGACTGGTATCCAGTGGGATTGGTACACCGTTGTGATAAGTAGAAGCTTGGAGGTTGTGAGAGTCAGGACTCTGAGGCTGTGAGAAGATCAGACTTTCAGAAGGGGGAGATCCAAGTTCTACTGAATTGAAAGCAACCTCTGGTTCTTCTTCGGTTGAGAAAAGCATTGGGTTTTCAGTCTGTGATTTCCTGTGGATGTTCCTTAGGTGGTTGATAACTGCGGGAGATGACAACAGACCTTGGTCTACGCTTGCACTTCGTGTCCCACCCCACCGGGCTCCGGGCATCCTGGAAGCGGAGGACATCCTGTGATTGACTTGGGAGCTGGGAAGATTCTGATCCAGACTGGCACGTCGTCTCAGGAATGAAGTCGCACGGCTGCCTCTAGGTGAGTGGAGACCACCGTTTGGCTGGGGTGTGGCACCAGACCTCATGGAGCTTGGCAGTAAGGGTTGAGACTGTGGCTTGAGAGGATGTCTAGAATCCTTGAATCTCGGGCTACCCACTGTCTGCGGCAGTTCTTCTGGATACATGTCATCATCAGAAGAAACTGCAACACGGAGTCTCAGTCCAGAAGCTCCTCGAACTCTGCTGACCCTGCTCCCCTGAAACGGCAGAAGCTGATCTTGCCTGTTACCAGTCTGAGAGTTCTCTTCCTGCTTGTCTCTGCTCCTGCCATCATCTTGGAGGATGTCTTGTTGACACTGTGAAGCGTCTTGATGACTCTGATGGGACTCTATTAAAGGCAGTCCCATGCCATTCCCATACCCACTATCGGCTGTCGATAAGTGAGCCGGCAGACCTTGTGACCCTCCACTGCTGCTACTAAGGGACTGTTGCAGGTCAAGGGTCGGGGCTGACAAGGCTGATTTAGGACTGACGCTGTCATTTGGGAAGCTCATACTCATCACATCGAAAGCCATGTGGAACCTCTCTGTGAGCTGCTGGTATGTGGACTTGGTTTCCTGATGCCATGCCTGGAAGACGCGGTGCATTAAGCTTGCTTCTCTGTCAGCTTGAGCATTCCTGCAAAAATATATGTACAACACCCCATTATTTTAAAACCATATTAGTTATGTTGAACTTTCCTTTTCTTTATTAATGACACGTCTCGGCTCAATATCATGGATCTGCTAATACAATCATCATTCTGTGCTTAGCGTGGTAGCAAAGAAAACCTGTGCTAACCCTGTAAAGACAAAATCTCCATCCTGAAGTAAGAGGGTGTATGTTAATGATGTGCATCCGGTTGGGTTGACCAGGCCAAACCGACCCGAAACATAAGAGACATAAATCCGAACCGAAACTGATTTTTTAACTCGCTCAAACCGACCCAACCCGACCCGACAAAAAATAAGGTAAAACCGACCCGAACCCGAACCAACTCCCCCCAAAAAACCTGAATATCTGGCTGGGACAAAGTGATCACTTTTTTGTGCCTGCCCTTACCCACGTGGCATGAATTCTTTTGCAAAAATATCGTCTCTCTCCGTGTCATACTCAGTGGGTTGATCGAGAGTAACTCCGCTTATTGAACAAACACATGGTATCACCACGCGGTATCATGAACACTGTTACAATCTATCTATTTCACTGTCAGTCCCGATCCGACTGGAGAAATTAATACCGTGGGAACTTGATAGTGCGCTAGTTGGCCACACCACAATGGGCAGCGGTCACAGTGAATGTCAATAATATTGCATCGCCTGAATTTCTCAACTATTTCGGTTTATTTCGTTTTTTTGAAAAGATGGCTCAACCGACCCGACCCGACCCGAAAATGTTAATGCAAAACCGAAACCGACCCGACCCGACTGAAAAGATGGACAAACCGACCCGAAGTCAATTTTGGGTCGGGTCGGTTTCGGTTTCAGGTCGGGTTTGCACATCATTAGTGTATGTGCACAGATGCCCACAGGCCTCTGAAAAAAGACCTTAAAAACTAAAGATTCTTCTCTAGTAAGCAATGCTATGAAATTGGAAACTGTCCTACGTTAGATGGATTGAGACTGTACACATATAGCCCAGATCAAGGTCCAAATTTTGTTCTCACAGGGAATTATGTGCCATTGCTTTGCATCACAGTAAGGATTTTGTTACGACTCAAAATTAGCTAAAAAAGTTATTCAGGAATGACTGCTAGATCTAAGCAATACCCAAACATTATTGAAAGATTGAATTTGTGATAATAATGCTAGCTATTCACTAGCTGCACACTATTCACTATTCACACACACACACACACCTGGCAATATTTTGGACTAGTAACTGCCTCCTCCACTGTTGGTATGCTGCTCGGATCTTTCTAGTACACCACCTCATTCCGTGATCACCAATGAGGCTATCTTCAGTTTCCCTCTGTTGTCGGGCATTCTTAGACCACATGCTGAAGAAGACAGTCGCAAGAAGAACCTCTCTAGCCTATAACAAACAACAAATGCACATCATACTATTGGCTCTACATCTCTTGTGGTATTCAGGACAAATTAAAGTTCCCAGTTTCTGCACCCAATTTCATGAAACTCATCGTTACTTACGATGCATTGTAGCTGCGACGCGTTCTGGATTTCTTTCACAAAACGCGTCATAAGTGCGACTATAGCACAACATGATGTCTGTTATAAGTATTTATTCAACGCACAGTAAATGGTCTTCTGGTTTTAAGCAAAAAGTTGTCGGTTCTCCTCTCAAAAAGCTTGTAAAACATAAAATGAAATGGCAGACGTATGATACAGTTTTAAAGGCAAACAAGCTCGCAGTGGACTGTCAGCTACTAGGAAATTTCAACTGTAATATTCAAGGTTTCTTCATATTGACTATGACGCATGTTTCATTTACAACTTTTCACACATTGTCTTGGTGTTATAGTCTCCTTTATTTCATATATATGGCATAAAACTGGCTAATAAAAGACATCTTATTTTACGATGATCAAAAGACATTTAAATTGCTGTCAAGGAACTAACGAGGCATTTATCGCATAGTTTTGTGAATGGATCATACAACGCATTGCAAGTTGTGATGTGTTACGCATCGCAACTGGAGTTGTGACGCATCGCAGTGCTTCGCTAAATCGGGTGCAGGTGTGTGATGGTCAATGCAAACTCCCACACTTCTTACCTTGTCACCTTGCTCCACCTCTCGCGTCAACATTTCCTCTTCGCTTGCCTTCCTCCAGCAATCAAAGATCCCCCTCACTGTGGTGTCTTGCCGTCGCTTCAAAAATACCTTCAAGTTGACTTTACGTTGGATGACTTCCCTCCAGCCTAGGAAGGCCCTGGTTAACTTGGACGTCAGCAGGGAGTCCAGGACTGAGCGGACCTTCTGTCTTGATGCAGTTTGTTCCCTGTGGATGAATGCAACGTGACATGTACTTTTGGTAACAGACGGGACATCAATGAATAGGGAACATGCCTAGTCTTCAGGGACCTGGGATTCAGAATCAAGCTTAGGTACACGGAAGCAGTCTAAGAGGAACCAGGCAATGTAATTGTTTGTAATGCAATCCTTGAAAATGTACTTTTTTGTCTTAATTTTCATTTTGCCATTTTCAAGGGTATTTTTGGTGACCTTTTTGGTTTTTATGCTAATGCCAATTTCCATATTCATGAGCAAAAAGTGTGATGTCATTAAAGAAAGAAACATGAATGTTACAGCTATTTTAGCACCAAAAGTTGCCGGACTTTTGGACATTATGCTGTTGTAAATTTTTTGTTTCTTTAGCGATTCCTCGCGGTGTCAGAACATAGCAGTAGGCCAATGGGCAAACTTTCCTCACAAATGTTTCCAGTGAACAAATATCTGGGTTCACAAAGAGAACAAAAAACCCTCAACTGAACAGTGTCTTCCTGGAATGACTTCACAGTAACAGCGCCCTCAGTTGTCCGGAAAAAAAAGCATGGACAATTGTAAATTTTTAAAGATCTGCACTTTTCAATACAATAACCAATAGTTTTCATACATTTAGGAGAAGAGTGCACAAAATGTGTTCGTCAGAGAAATTTCTGATTGGCCGATCAGCGTTGGAAATTGATACAAAAATACCACTTTTCTTGAAAATGACAGTATACCAGGTGCCATGATTTTACAGGATGCTTTACACTGTCATTCACTAACAGTCCAGCAAGGTATTTCAAAATGATTTGGTAGTTTTATTTTTTGATGTTTGCAAATGTTGTATTTTCCCTTTAAAGGAATTCAACATTGATAACTTCAATGAAAGTAAATCCTACCTCCATGTCATGAAGGACTTCTCAAGGTACCTGCTGCTCCGTAAAGACCGGTACTGCTTGCAGGCTTTTTTCCTTAGTACTCTCTCACGCCATGCATCAAATGAACTGTGGTTATAGAAGCACAAAAGGGGTTGTCAGACTTTGTATTTGAAGACATTTATATAATCATTTCAATAAATTGTGAGACGTTCTCGCAAAATGAGACGGATCTGGGCACAGGCCATAGTGGAGAAAAATGCAAGAATCAGATTTTCCAATTTATTGGTATTTGCAATTTTTGATATGTCTCCTGCACGTAATTTATTTCAAACAAAAAGCATAAGAATCGTAGAATAAAAGTGTTAAGGAAAAACAAATTGGCATTTTGCATTTTCATGAATACAAAACGTGAAACAAGAAAGGCCTTTTCCCCCAGTATTTGTCTTTTTTGACATGTCGTTAAATGCAAACTTTAAACAGCCATAATTTGTCAATGGAATGTCAGATTGAAGTGAATTTTATTCTCAATGAGTGTACAGTGTTTATATGTCGGTGAAGGGCAAAACCTGATATTGATTAACATCACCCCGACGCAAATTCCATCTTATGAATTTTATTCTCTTTCCTAATACCTGCAAACCCTCATTTTGTCTAACTTTGCCAGAGCGCCTCACTAATATTATTCTAGTTTTACAACTTTCTGCTGTTCCCGAGTGAAAAGTCACTGCCTGACTAACTGAATCACTGGACATCAATGATGTCCTGTTCTGAGAATTTTGGGTCGAAGCAAGGCAAGAAACGATTAGTTCAAAATTCATCTGTGTGGATTTTTCATGTGCAAGTACATTCAGATCATCATTGGTCCAGCAGTTGATTTTAACAAAACGGTATCTTCTATTTCTATGTGAAACTTTTTATTGAAAAACTGCACAAAGAAGAGACGTACCTGGCCAGATGTTTCCAGTCTCTTCTCTCCAACAGCGGAGCGATGGTTTTGGACTCCTTGGCAAGCAGTCGCCACGACAACAAGAACCTCAGAATCCGATTCCTGAAGAGCTTGTGCCGTGCAGAGAGCGCCCTCTGGTGGTCTTGAAGGGCCAGGCGGTGCTCGTGCGTCCACCTCTTGAATGCGTCTTTGAAGGCGGAGCAAAGGTGAAGTCAACCAAGTGTTAAATGCAGATTCACGTCTTTCAATATAACTATGACTTAATGTTTACAGTGGTGGAAAGATAACAGTGTGAAGCAAGTAACTTTAAACAAGAGAAATGTACTCTTAGGAAGAAGACGTAAAAATCTGTGTACATTCTATGTGGGTCGACCTGAGTTGCTCAAAATACATTTTGGTTCACCAAACTGAAGGGTATTTAGTCATTCACTTTTTGTACTTACAAACGTCTGCCGAGGTGTCTGAGCATGATTGTAAAGTGTTCATAAGATGGAATTTGCATCAGGGTGATGCAAATTCAATATTTGGTTTCGCCTTTTCACCGCCGTGGTTTAATAAACACTGTATACTCAGAACTCTCCCAAGTGATTGTGAGAAAACAATCACTCGGGGACTCGAACCCGCTACCTCCTCCTTACTACTCCTGACACTGCACTAGTAAGCAGGAGGTCATGGGTTCGAGTTCCACTTGAATGATTTTTTTCCCACAATCACTCAGGATAACACTGAGTATACAGTGTTATCCTGAGTGACGTCTGTCACGAGATAATGTGGCCAATCAGGGTGGCGTTTATCTCCGGTTTCAGTAGCATGAAACGACTGAGAATATTTCTACTCCCCTTGGATGGGATGCCAGTCCATCGCAGGTTACTCCCCAGCTAATGCCGGTACCCATTTATACTCCTGGGTGGAGAAAGGCAAGTGGGGTGAAGTGGCTTGCTTAAGGACACAATATATGGCCAGCGGCTGGATTTGAACCCCTGACCCTTTGATCATGAGTCACGAACCCTAACCACTGGCCACACTCCCCCAAGTAACAACACCTCGGTAAAAATGGCAAAACTCAATAATGATTATAAAGCTTGAAATTTCACCCAAAAAAGATCATATTTACGAGACTTCTCTTCACATGCTGCACTTGAATTTGATACTTGTATAAACCAGTTACATGACTAAAATATGAGTTTATTGAGCAGGCTGCGAGACGCGTTATAACAGTTCTTAAAAAATTCTACACAGTGATCCCACCTCTTTTCACATGTTGGTCATGAACAGGCTGGAACTGCACTAGTCTGTCTTCCAGTCGACGATGTCGCACTCTCTCCTTCCACTTGCTGACCGCTCTCATGACACATTTCAGTGACCAGGCTCTGTGTGCGGCCTGCCTGGCCTGGTGTACTCTCAGTCTGGTTGACCATGTGAGTAGCGTGCACTGCTTGGTTCTGAGGCTGGTGTTACTGATGGCAGTTGACAGTGTACTCCTGAGGAGGAAAAGATGGGATTCACCAACAAAAAGTACAAGTCAAAAATAACTGGTAGATATCTTTAAATTCTTGCCTCTTGTCAGTGTGGATGCATCTTTAGTTGTGGTTTATCAGCTTTCCATTCTGTACACTACTCGCACTTCGGGATGAAGCACCACTGATTTGAAAACAAAAGCTATTTCTTTTTTCAAAGTTGGTCTGATTTGGCAGTGGCAGAGTTGTTGAAATGGGCCTTATTCACGAGTCAGCCATATTGGATTGAGAGTGAGGTAAAATCTTAATTTATGGAACTTGTGTAGAGAAATGTAAGCAAGTTAATTACTAATTAATTTCAGTCTGCTTCAATGAATAATTTCAAATTTTGTAATTAAACGTTCCCTAATGTTTAAAGCCATATTAAAAAAAAAATAACAGTAAAATAAGGCTGCATTATGCCTGCATAAATAGTCTGGGGCCATCCTATTCAACAGTTGACAATTAATGAAATACATTCAGGGAACTCGACAAAAATGGCCAACTCGTGAATAAGGCCCATAGCACGCTCCCCTTTCACGTTTTCACACACAGTCCAAGATCACGGCAGCACGCTTTTCGTCCTCATTTTACGGTTGCTCGTAAAAGTCTATGAATGATCTTTCTCTGTTTAAGCAAAGCTCTGCCAGTGATTTCAACATACCTGAGTTTGCGTTCCCTGTTCACATAACTCCTCCATCTCTGAAACACGATCTTGAGATACATTTGTCTTAGGATGACAGAAGCTCTCCTTGCTGCCTCCTTCTGTTGCCTAGCGACCTGCATCCATTTGCTAAAGACGCGTTGCTTGGCAACCTTGCGGGCCTGGGACTCCATGATCTGGCGGTAGAGCTGTTGCCTCTGTAGGCGGAGGGTCCACAACTCCCAGACATACCTTATGAATAGGAAACACAGGAATTAATACTGTTGGGCTGGTTGCTCACTTGTATGCTCAGGCCTTCCAACTATCTTATTAGCTGGCCGACAGCCTGACTTTTCAGACAGTATACGATTAAAGATCAGTCAATTCAACGTGGCAAACTTCATCTGATTTTAAGATTACATGTTTTCAACACAATCTACAGTAACATGCCCGTCCTGCTAAAGACATTTACCGAACAAACGCATCTGCAACGAGCCCATATAGGTGATATCTGGTTTATTGTTTCATCTTTAATCATTTAGGGATTTTACATTGTCCATCCACAATCCATTTCATTAGTGTGACGTCATTTCAGTTTAAACCACGCCCACTGCCCATTAAGTAGCATTGGAATCTGAAAGTAATGCAACTTGAGTGTTTATCCAATGGGCGCGAGTAATCAGTGGTGCGCGCATGTATGACATTTTTACTAACTAACAAGATACAAGAACAATGAAGGATTTCAATGAGTTACACAGGTCAATGAACTTTGAAGTACATTGAAATCTGATTATGTGATAACATGCCAGCAAACCCACTGGAGGATTTTGAAGGATCCCGGCAGAGGCGTCCACTGACAAAAAGTGAAGGATTTTGAAGGATTCAAATGCTTAGAGTTTATAACAACAACAGGTACTTATTTAGGGCTTTTAACTAAGATCAAAGCACTTTACATTATTATTAGCCCTGATTGCCTGACCAATGAAACATTTCAAATACAATCTCAGCTCCCTGGGGGTATACAACTCAATGCTGCCATTTTGGCGCAAAGCAGCTAAAATCAACTACAATAACCATCTCTGCCCTCACAGGTACCCATTTACTCCTGGGTGGAGAGAAGCAATGAGTGACAAAGTAACTTTCCCAAAGGCACACGCACCACAACCCCGGGCTGGACTCGAACCCACAACCTGCAGAATTACCTGCAGACCACAAATTCAATGCTCCAGACCACGAAGCCAAAGCACTCCACTTGTAATTCTTTGCCATTGGAGGATATTGAAGTAATTAGGCTGCTCATGGACAAGAGAGATTGGAGAGTTAAGCTTAATGTATTTAACGCCCCTCTTACCTCTTGCGCACTCTATCCAACCTCTGCTTCACCTGCATGACAAGCAACTCCTCCTTCCAACGCTTGAAGTGCGCCCTCAAGAGGCCACGTCGTCTCAGTTCCAGTGCCTGGCTGTGCTGCTGATGTCGCTCTGCCTTGGCCAGCTGACTGCCTCGTACCCAGGTATGAATCACAGCAGATAGGAGCTTTTGACTGTATATTATCCCCCCGAAAAAAAAATGAGAAGATTGGTACAAGGAAAATAGTGCGAAAGGGTTCGTTTAACTACTTCTAAAGCCTAGACATTAGCAGAACCCTTCTTGGTATAGTGGTGAAATTATTACAATAAAAAAATATTGATTTTATAACAATCTGATAATCTCTTGACTTGCTGAATGAAATTAATCAGTACTTGCCTGTAGTGACTGTTAGCTCTCTGCGTTTGTGTATACACCGCCCTCATGACGTGCCATGCCTTCTGAACTATCTTCTCCTCATGGTGAACCCGGCTCATCTCACCACGGTAACCTTTGACCTTGGATTGGCTGGTGAATAGCTTCCAACATTGGAAGCCTTGGCTTAGGAGGCTGACTCTGCCAAAAGAAAGGTGGAATAATTTCATTTTTTGAAAGGAGTAGCCGCTTGTCGTGCTGGTGAAGCAGAGTTTTTACAGACTTTGCACGAGGTGAGATATTTGTTGAACACTTCTATATTCTGCTCACATTTTCAGGCTTGTGTCGAAGTCTACATGGTTAGGGGTCATAGCACAGAGCAAGGCACATCGTGGTGACAATCAGTGCTTTTATTATATAATGTTGTGCAAAGAACTTGTACAAATATGGCTGAAGCTTAAAGTTTTTACAATCAAATAAATTGATGGCATTAACGCTGACTTTAAATACTTCCCAAGGTAACATGGGAATGAGCCCCCAAAGTTAAGGGCTTATAAATTCCTGAAGCCTAGACTGAAGATGAAACTAAGAAACTGCCAATGTCTTACTTGTAGTGCAGTCTAGCGATGCCATCTTTCTGCGCCAAGTTGTACCGATCTTTCCACGTCTGAAAAGTCACTGCAATGGAATGCTTCGCAGCGAGCTTCTCAAGTAACTGGGCACGCTCAGTCCGTACTTGATACAGATCACGCCACTGCATTTGAAAACAGAAAGACAGGGTTAAAAAAAATAACTTTCCTCAAGTGACCTTACCCTAGTAAATTACAAAAATTGTATCAAGACCTTGAATGATGGGGCACAATTTGAGAAAATACTCACAGTGCCAAAGTGACGACGCTTGACAAACTTTTCACATCTTGAAACAGCGCCCTCCATCTCCAAGCTGCTCTGCATTACAGCCCACCGTAGTCCGTGCAGTGCCTTCTTCAGCAGATGCGTCTCTCGCAGCTTGTCTGCCGCCCTCTTGTGGCACGGTGGAGCCAGTTTCCAGGCCTGCAGACATCTTGTCATCAGCTGTATCTTGTAGTGGGATGTGGCTCTGCAAAAAAAGTTGAAATAAAATGGCAACTTCGAAAATGGGCAATTTCATCGTTACTCCGAGCCTAAAACCAATTTGAAACAACAAAGTCAAATACTGGCAGAGAAAGAAATTTACATATTTTGTTACAACTCTAGCTTTTATGAACAACACGCATGGTTAAGGTAATGTTAGCTGAATCAATTAATGAGATATAGGCGCTGTAGAACACTCATGGATGTTACGCTTTACGATTAGATTTATTTTAAATTTTCAGCATGTATTTATAAAAGTCTGTTAATTTTCTTGCAAGAATTTAATGAATAACTACATATATGTTTTGATAGAAATAGGTTCACTCTATAATTTGTTGTTTGGAAATGATAAAACTTCACCAGATTTTTTATTCTCCAGGAAAAAAACAAAATGATTGTGGATTTCCTAACTGACCTGTCGCGCTGTTCTTCCCTTTCTTCCTGTCGTGTCTTGATCAGACGAACATTCTTGTGCCATCGGCGGAACCAGTACAGCTGGAAAAACAACACACAAACAATATGGCAAATGGCTTCAAGTATGAATCATGGATTAACAGTTAATGTAAAGTTTGGTTGCAGTGCCCGCTGCTATATTAGACTCGAACCAGCCAGCCCACCCCGGCAAGCTCGGTGGTAGTGATAAGACGTCTGCACTAGTAAGCAGGAGGTTGTGGGTTCGAGTCCCACCTGAGCAGTTTCAGAATTTGTTTCTCACAATCACTTGGGAAAACACTGAGTATACAGTATTTATATAAAAATACGTCAGTGAAGGGCAAAACAACATATTGAATGGCAGGTTTGTTCACAGTAGGGACAATTTCGTAAAATCCAATCCTCTGCGTACCTCCGACCACATGATGTACAAGGTCGTTAAGGTGGTGGTACAGTGTACATGTACCTTAGTTTGGTCTGTAATTGTTTTCTACTTATTAGACATGTTAGACGTCACATTATTAGTGATGTACTATCACATTCACTTTTCCAACAGCAGCTCGTCAAAAATGTCTGACATGCACATCCGAATTTACGGAATTGCACAGCAGTCAAAAATATAATTACAATTATTATTCCTTTAAAAGTACATTTGTCTACCTTGGTGACGAGTTCTTCATGCTTATCTGGCGATGCACTGTGGAGAATATCTAGGATCTTGAATGCCCAGAGAATGGAGAATGTCTGTCTGGGGCTGTGACTGCTTGATAAGGCCAAGGGGCTGAGACTGATCAAGAAAACAAACAGGATTGAGATACAGTAGTGTTTCTATATTTTTTTATAATAACATGGTGCTTTACAATTATTACCCCTGTTCACCAGGCAATGAGACCAGTTTTTGCAGCAGCTCGAGAACAGCGCATTCTGGTCTCTACCTTCACAGGTACCCATTTATACTCCTGGGTGGAGAGAGGCAACTGTAGTGAAGTGTCTTGCCCAAGAACACAAGCATCATGTTCCACGTCAGGGTTGGACCCACTCACCACAGCAGATGAGTCGGACACCGAACCATTGGACCACATCACTCCACCTTTACTCTTACAGACATTTGCAGAAGTTTAAATAAACTGGTCCCCTGCCAGTGTCTGCTGCCCCCGCCCATTGTCTCTATTCATACTGATCAGTGTTTGCATCGTCCAATACCATCTATTACAATGTAATGTAATGTGGAGCGCTGTGGTCAATGGTTATGGTGTTCGACTCAAGTGCTGTGTCACGTGGGTTGGAACCCTGATGGGGAACATGGTGCTTGTGTTCTCAGGCAAGACACTTTACTACAATTGCCTCTCTCCACCCAGGAGTATAAATGGGTACCTGTGAAGGTAGAGACCAGAATGAGCTGATCTCGAGCTGCTGCAGAAAAATGGTTTCATGGCCTGATGATCAGGGGTAATAATTGTGAAGTGCTTTGAGACCTTTGGTAAAAGCGCCATATGAGCACCACATTAGTATTACTAAGTGTAACCTTTAGCATGTCTTTGTCATTTATCATCATTGTCACTTGTGACATGTCATGTGATTGACATGTCATGTGATTGACATGTGACCGAGTTGACTACAACTCTGTAGTTTCCAATTGCACCAGAAAGAAAAGATGAATACTGGCATTGTAACATTTCTCTTGAACACTAACCTTTTTGATGCTGTCACTGGTGTGCAACTTTTCTTTGGAAAACCAGCAGACTTCTGAGGTTTAGGGACTCCGTTCAAATGTTTCACCTGCAAGTAGCAGCAAGTTTACTCAAATTCAGCAAAATTGAAAATGATGGAAACACAGTAATATATTTTTAAAAATTACCACAGAGAGTGTGGGGAAACAATAGTGTTGGAATTTCAAAATGATTTTAACCAGTTTGCGCCGGATGACTAAATACACCCAAAGGTTTGGCAGTATTCGGAATGGACAACAGATAAACACACAGGGAGTGAGGCCAGAAATATCTGTCAGCGACCCACTCGCAGCCAGTGAGGCCGGAAATATGAGTGTGCTGCCCGGGGGTGATGGCTTCAACCCGCCTGGCTTGAGGTCGAGTGAAAATTAATCCCGTACCTTGTTCCGTTCTTGTCAAAATAATCCCGGCGCAAACTGGTTAAAGTTTGAGTTATAAAAAAAAACTTTGATTGCGGGGATTTGTGGCCACAAAGAACAGATCAACAGGATGTTGTTTGTCAAGAATTTAATATTCACACACAGCAGAATATATCTAGTACATGTATCACAATTCAGGTTCTAATACTTACATTATTTTTTGTTCTCTGTTGTGTCCTACCAGTGTTTCCACTTTGGGTTTGGTGTGAACTCCGGTCAACAAAATTCCTGCTTCGTATGAAACCCGTGGCTTCACTTGTCCTGTGGGTTCTTGTTGATGGCACTGACCTTCTATTTGCATATTCATAAGAAGGTGACCTGTTTTTGTCCCGGTGTCTTACACTCACGGCTGAAAACTGAGCTGTGTTGTCTGCTCTGGTCCTTCTGAAGGATGGGGCTCTCTCTAGCCTCAGATCATTTGGAGATATGCTTAGCTTCAGGTCATCCAACGTGAGTGCTTGTCCTGGACTTGAGGGGTAGGAATGCCTCAGTGGTGACATTTTGGTGTCAGAAGCGGGATCATAGCGTGGGAAAATCAACTGATCACTAATGGAAGATTCCTTGATAAGGCTGGCCAGGTTAAGAGCACCAGACTCCAAACTGCACTGCAGCTTTGTGTGAAGCACAGCTGCGTTGACAGTAACCGTCGATGGTGATGTAACCGCTGTTGGTGATGATGACACCTTGGAGTCTTTCCATTGGTCTGTTCTCGCATCATCACTACTTTTGCTCACCATCTTCATTGAAGAGGTCAATCTCGTTTGAAGCCCATTATCAAATACTGCAATATTGTTATTATTCCAGTTGTTTGTAGGCCCCTCTCCGGTTCTCAACTCACACAAGTCTTTATCTTCATCTTGTTTTTCTGTCTCTTTTTCCTCATCCAGTTTCTTCCTTGATCTGCTCTTTCCTGATTTCTCAGATGCTCTTGAGACGCCATTCTTGTCAAGTTTTGCCGGAGTGGATCTTGCATACAGACCGTCCACAGGCTTGGAATGGACAAAGTCATCTGTTTCTGAGAACCTGTACAAGTCAGCATCATCAAATTGGTCGAGTTCCCGAAGATCGAAATCCAGTGGTTGAGAGACATCTGAAGAACCTGAGCTTCGGGGCTGGTGATGCAGGAAGCTTTCACTTGAGTAGGAGGATGTCACATGTGAAGGAGTCCCGGTGAAAGGCAAGCTGGTATTCCCAATCCTGATATTCGAGGTCCTTGCAGGTCTCGAGGTTGACTGATTTTTGTCTGATTCGATTGCACGGTGATGCTCCATGTCAGTTTGGTAGGCAATGAATTCCTGATTATCTAAACCTGCTGCCTCTGTCCAATACATATCAAGGTTTTGTTGTGGAATTGGTGTTACTCCCAACAGTTTGGAAGGGTTGGTCAGTTGGCTGTATAAGCTTGTTGGCCTGTGAGACTGTACTTCGATCCAGCCATTGGAGTCAGGTGCATACCACCTGCCATTTAGGTCCTCTGATGGGTATTCTGGCTGCTGTAGGAGTGCATCTAAATTCACATCTGGGACAGACCCTAATCCACTGGGTTGTTTACTGGGTGTGATGCACGTATCTGACCAGTGTTGATCGCTTCCGTCGTTGTCATCTGGATAATCTTTGCATGAGCTGAAACTTTGGACGTCTCTTGTTGCGTGGATGATAAATTCCTGTTGAAAGTTGGACTGATTGTGTCTGCTGTATGCTGGATTGGTTGCTTGCCTGTACGACCCGTCTATGAAATGGTCATGATTGTCAAAGGGTTGATCGTAGATTATTTGTCGATTGTATGACGATGTGGAATAGTATGGCACATCCGACGGAGGCACAGGACTGTGAATAATCAACTCCTCCACACGCTGCACTGTTTGAAGAAAGCAAGAACCTAGAGAGTTAAACAAACATCGTGGCAAAAAATTGGGTGGATTGGTTTGTCAATTCACCTGTGTCTGTGCCAAACTTGAAACCAGGGCATCATAGCGTCATAGTTACACAGGACTCGAAGGGGAAATGAACAAAGTCCATTGCTGTATGGACTGGTTTGATTTGCTTACTACTTCATGTATTGACCGCGTCATTGCTGGTGTAAATAAGCAGCCTTTTGTGATATCTGTTGTGCTAGTGGGGCGTGCTGGGTAATGCATTGTGCAGACATTTTTTGGAGAGATACCAGTAATTGGGTCGGATATCGACTGATAGGATTATTTTCTTCGCTTTTTTTTTCAATCGGCAAACAAATTCTTCTAAAACGTTTATCACCTTTGTGAATTAATTTTTACAAATCCAAAGTTAACGACCCCCAAATTATGTCAGTTTTTTTTAAAAGGCTGTGTTTAAATACATCATTATCAAATCATTGGCACAATTCAACATCTGCTGACATATGTAAGGACACCAGTGCAAAAATTTGTGGGTTAAAAATTAACTCTGCATTACCAGATGCAAGGCATTGTTCAGGGTGCTGTGAGGGCGTCTGTGCTGGGGTGTGGGAAGTGTCGGGTAGATCCGACATGTACACTAGTGGCCTATGGGTACCCATGATGCCTTTGGTGTTCTGCAAGCATTCTGATTGGTCGTTGTTGATGCCAAGAGACAGCCGCTGTAGTGGTTCAACTAACCATTCCTCTGGAGTTTTCGGATGTTCCTGCAATAGAACAATCAAAAATAATAAGAAAAATAGACGTGCATTGGAAAATCACTTAAGGCCCAGCCTTCCTCAATCCTCGAATGTCCTCCGGGCAGTTTAGGGGATTTTGGAAGATTGAGGCAGAACGCAACATACAATTTTAGATGATTGTGGAGGATTGAGGGCACACAGACATTCAGTATCGGTTGAGTTTGGAGGATTGAGGATGAATAGTGTTTGAAGAAAGGGAAGTATTTTAGAGGATTGAGGCTGAATGCATTTTGAGAGGCAGGGCTTTTGCAGGATTTTGAAAGATTGCGGAAGTGGGTATCCTTCATTTGAGCATACGTACGTACATAGATGTAAGCGCAAACTTTGGAGGATTTTGGAGGACTGAGGATGGTTCCCCGAAAAAGGGCATAGGGCTTAGGGTTAAAGGGAATGTACATCATTGGCTTTTGCTGTAATTTTCAGAAATGAACTATTTGAGGGGTTAGTATAATAGATCAAATATTGTTACAATAACATGTTTGAAGTTTTGTGTTCGAAAATGCTGGAAAAACGAAGAAAAAGAAAAATGTTCAAGTAGTCTGGTTCTCCGACTCCACTAAAGATAAAATGGATCAATGTATAGATGCCGGGAAATTGTAAGGTAAGGGAACCAGTCTAGCTGGCCTGCACCCGTTCATGAACATGTAACCAATAGCAAACAAAATTAGACTGAAAGAAGGTAACTTTGGAGCAGTAGTTGAAAAACAGTTAGGTTTTTCCAACGGTGGTCGACCAACGGTGGCCGATCATCGTTGGAAATGTATACAAAAATACCAGTTTCTTGAAAATGACTTCACACCAGGTGCCATAGTTTTACAGGATGCTTTAGACTGTCATTTACCAACATCCTAGTAAGGTATTTCCTGAAAACTTGGTAGTTTTATTTTTCGATGTTTGCAAATGTTGTACATGTATATTCCCTTTAAGTGTCTAATTCACAATAACATCTGCTCAAAAAGTTATGAATATACAGAGGTATTATTTTTGACAGGAACGTATAATGCAGTCACCATGTTTTGCATGATTGAAATGGTGAGGAATAAATGAACAACTTGGGGGGAATTAACAGATCTCTACATCTTGAGATACCCGTATGACTAACTCATCAATGAAGTGATTCTAAAAGTTTTTGTCAGAAAATTCCCCCAATGACGACAAGCTATTATCACAAGTTGCAACAGCAAATCTCAGATTTGTTTTTAGTCAACGCGTTATAGGCCACATAATTGAAATTTTTCTGAATTCCCCCCCCTTCTTTTTACACTGAAAACACAGTGGTTCCCTTTTTATTTATTTTTCTCCTTGCCATGGAAACAGAAGCTGAATCCTGAAATCTGATCCTGTCACAACAAATCCAGCCTCTGAATGTTTGATGAGGACAAATATTGGATGGTTTGGACCACACACTGCAACGGTAACACGCACAGCTACAATCCCAAGTAAACTACAATGTATCCTGATCTTTATGAAATTCTGCAATGCTTCCCATCTTAATTTACTTCTTTTCTTTTCATTTTTTTCTCTCCATGAAGGCAATATTTTACCTTTGTGTGTTTTACGGCTAAAGTTTTAGGGCAATTCCAGCGTTATGAAAGGCATTGGAATGTCCGTAACACAGCCATAATTTAAAATGATTCAGAGAAATGATCCAAAAGTCCTAGTCTGTAAGGCCAAAAAAAAAAAGTCTCCGGTTTCTGGTCTGCGCGCGCGTCGCCGTAGCCATGCGCGTCGGCAAAATGAAAAAGTTTTTTTTCAATGAAAGATGATGTCTCAAAACCGCCAAACTCACTGGTTTGACTGGAATCCTGCTGCTGCACAATTTTAACGTGTTTTTAGATTGGGTTATGGTCGAGAATAAGCTTTATGTGGCCTCTCTGGACTCCCATATATTTGCACTAAGTTTAGTCGGGCACCATTTGCAGTCATCAGCCGACATTTGAAGCAAAAAAATCAGGTTAAAAAAAAAAAAAAAAAGCCGCGTCGCCGCACCACTTTTTGGGCAAGCTCCATACCAGAAACCGGAGACTTTTTTTGTTTGGCCTAATCTCCTTGACCATTACTAGATGATGGATGTGTATGAGATTTAAAAAAATACATTTTCAGGTTTATTCACTGAGCTCTACCAGTATTACAGACATTACATAACGCTGGAAATATATTTTACTTTTAATTTAAAGAATACAATTGAATGCTTATGAATCTCGCTTTCGATTCTATCAACCAATCTACAATTATTCCCCTGTCCATCACGTCACGAGACCACGCAGCCGATATCAGTGCGCATTTGGTCCTCTACCTTCACTGGGACCCATTATACAGTAATTCTGGGTGAAGAGAGGCACTTGTTGTTAAGTGTCTTGCCCAAGGGCACAAACACCATGTTTTGCATGCACTTTTTGAACAAGAGGGCATTCATACATCGCACGGTATTACTCTCTAAGATACAAGTATTCATGGAATTCAGCGTTTTTTTTATTCTACTGTTGGGCATTTGTAAGGAGAATACCCACAAAAATGTTTATGTTATTAGTCTTTGCGATTATTCTGTAATTAAAGAAAACACAGTGTTTTGTAACAAGGAGACCTTCTCTTAGACTTACCCATGAACAGAAATCCCTTACAAAAAACTACACAAAAAAGTATGTAATTTCAGGCAAAAATGCGAACAGAAGTTGTACGCACAGTAACAAAAAATCCATACTAAAATTGTGTACGTACAAGTTCATTGCAGCACCACCATGTCATAAAACAACCTGTCTACAGTACTTATCAATTATGTCAACATGGGCAAGGTGCCAAAGTGTAGTCTGACAGTGAAAAATGACTCTCTGAGACTACTTAACACCTAGCAACCTGAACGACAGGTGGGTTGGGATTGATTGAAGTCATATTGACTTTAATAGGAAAAGCTGTCAAGGGGAACAGTTGGTGTGTTAAAGTCGATGTTCCCAACAACTTGGTCAAAGGTATGAATGATAATAGTTGTTTTTCCTTCTTATTTTAACTGGGTAGACCATTCAGTGGAATCCACTGGTCTCCCAATGGGCAAAGTTTAGAGGAGACAATGGAAAAAAATTACAGTTTCAGATGTGGGGAAACCCCAGAACAATATTCCAAGGAAAACCCACAGAATCAGGCAGGGACTGAAAACCCAATCCACATTGGCCCAGGCAGGAATCAAATCCGGGTCACAGCGGTGGAAGTCAAGAGAGGCACTACGTAGATTTTTAAACCAAAAGATGAAACATCACAGTCTTGCACCATTTTGAAAAAAAACCGACGTTGCAATGTCCCATCTGTCACACAAAAACATGAAAAAGTTGTGTAGTTTTTACATGAAAAGATCTTTTTGGTTCAAACTTGAATTCCTATCTTCTAATCAAGGTGACCTCACCAAAGTAAAATAAAAAAATCCTTTGATGTACAGCTGTATAGTTGATCTGATATTTCATCTCAAACTCTGTCCCGTCTGTCGCATTTTACCCATTTGTTAAGTACCGGTATTTTTGTCCCGTCTGTCACATCACCTCTAGGTTTAAAAAAAAGTTGAACATACATGTACATTTATTTGTAGACTCTTCTGTCCTTAAAAATAATAAACGTTTGTGCCTACATTTATTCAGCACATACATATATACAAATGTCACATTTGCCCATTTGTTATATTTTTGGTCCCGTCTGTCACATTTTTTCAATCACCTGTTAAAAAAAAGTGGAACATACGTGTACATTTTTTGTAGACTCTTCCGGTTTTTAATATACTACATGTACCGTTACATGTTCTTCTTAAAAATAATAAAAGCTTGTGCCTACATTTATTCAGCATATAAAAATGTCATGTCTGTCACGTCCCGTCTGTCACAACATTAATGAGCCCGGTGTTTCCAGTTCTATGTTTTGAATTACAAAACAAGTACGAAGTGAAGTGTTCAATCAGCTTTAAAAGAAAGAAATATTAAATTTCCCAGGGAAAGTCATTTTCAAAATATGGAGTGTAATTTCAGTCCCGTCCGTCACGCTGATTTCACTTTGTTTTGTCACTATACAGCCAATGAATCCTCTAGTTTCATGGATTGTTTTTTAATTTAAAAATATAGAGTGTTTACTTTGACTTCATACATAACATAGATGGTTACACCTTTATGGTTGTGTCAGGCCTTTGAAAAAAAAAGGTAGTGTAAATCTGTCACGTCTGTCACGCCGGTAGTGGCAAAAAATTGCTCTGAAACGGATCCATTATTTTTCAAATGTTGAAATGACTGAAGTGAAACCACTGAGGCTGTGTGTCCTGAACACAGAACGCATCATAGAACATGGATGATGCACCATTTGTTAGTGTTTTCACAAGTGATTCAAAGCACATCACAAGCCGCACTTCAAATTTGTCTTGGAGATGTTTGTGTTGGATTACAGGGTCTTCTCAGGAGCCAGTGTTTGTGAAGCTGAATGGTCAAGCAGTGCACAATGGCAGTTTGACAGAGTGTGGTTAAACAGTTAAACAGAGACAGACTACAGCACATCTGGAAAACTAACCCCTAAATCTATACATTATATGTATGAGGCTACCAGTACAATGCCACGCGTTTACTTTTAAAAACTACTGTAGCTGCAGTTATGCAAAGTTTGGGGTGGGGCTACCTACATTTACATGTACATCACCCGCATGATGAGAGTATTCTATGCAGCATTTCACTGACAGTAAGATTTATTAAAATAAATGTCTATGCCCGTTCTTGTACTACAAAAACATGGCATTCAAATTGACCAATCAACAGCCAAGTCCAGATTTCGTAATGAAATGACGTTTGTTTTTAATCCGATTGACAGGGGCGTGAGGTCGCATAAATTTGCACGCTAGACGTTGGACCGGAGACAGTGAGACCACCTTTGGACTATGGGTGATACTCAGACTACCCCTAGGGCAGATCTATCCAGAAATGAGGGAGATACTTCAGTCTAGGACATTA